ACGGGGACGTTGCGCTTCAGTCCGATGAGCTGAAGCATCTCGGTCCAGAAGCCGACAGGCGGTGTGATGAAGGAGGCCTCGTAGGCGTCGATGAGAGGAGCATCCCAGACAAGGTCAACCTCATGGGGCTTCAGCCACTTCGTCCTCTTGAGGACCTTCCAGAACACGAACAGGATCGGAGCAACACCAACCATGGTGTAGTATGTGAAGAAAGACTCGATGGAGAATTCTCCCACAAAGGTGCTGTAACCGTACACGAATACAACGCAAATTTCGAAGCATAGCGCGAACCAGGTACCGTAGGGCTGGAAGTAACCGCAGTAAGGGAGGGTCTTACGGTCGAGACCCTGGACCTTGCAAGCCTTGTAGAATGCGAGGTAGGTACCGCACATGACGATGTAGTTGATGATACCTCCGGCGGTGATGATGTTGACGAGCCAGGTCAGGACCTTGGCGGAGTCGGAAGACAGCTGGAGGAAGGACAGGAACGGGAAGATCATGACTACCGCAAAGCAGTAGATAGGAACACCGTTCTTAGTGCACTTGCGCAGGAACTTAGGAGCGCGGCCCTCGATCGCGAGCGAGTACAGACTGCGAGTCGCACAGTATGTGTATGTGTTTCCGGCAGAGAAGATACTCGTGATCAAGAGGGCGTTGACGAGATGGGGAAGGCCACCAATGTTGAGGTTCTTCATGGCGATGACGTAGGGAGACGCGGCAGCGCTGCTCTCTCCTGCCTCCAAGACACTGACGAGCTCTGGGTCGTTGTAGGCTAGAACAACGCCGACGCAAAGAGCGCCAAGGATGAAGAAGGCACCGAATCGGAAGTAAACTGTCTTGAATGCAGTCTTGATGTAGGCACGTGGGCGCTTGGCTTCACCGGAGACCATGGAAATGTACTCAGGACCAACAATGCAGAAGGAGGCAGCCCAAAGGGAGCCGAGGAAGCCTTCGAAACGATCAAGGGAGCTGCCGCCGGGCATTGGGCCCGGGTCGCGCCAGTGTCGGAAACCGTAAGCATCCTTCTGGGGGTTACCTCCGACCATGGTGATGAAGGTGAAGCAGTAGAGGATCAGGATCAGCAGAACCTTGCCTCCGGAGAGCCAGAATTCAGCTTCACCGTAAGCCTTTACAGCCAAGATGTTGCAAGCACTAAAAGCGATTAGTTCTTGTCCCTTACATAGGATACTACCCTTAGGGCAAACTGGTAGGTCTTACGCGTATAGGACAATGACGCCCGCACAGACAGCAGCGACTGGAATATCATCTCTCCAGAACCGCAGCACAATGTTAAGGGCCGTGATCTCGAACGGGATCAGCAGAGCCTCGTAGAAGAAGAAGTTCCAGCCAGCCATGAAGCCTAGGGACTCATCAACCCATTTTCCAGCCATTCGGATGAAGCCTCCGGAGACAGGCATGAAACTGGCCATCTCGGCCATGGCGTTGTTCACGAGAGCGATGATGCAAGAGTATCCAGTGTATGCGAGGAGTAGACCGAGGGGACCGCCCTTGTTGAGAGCACCACCGATTGACACAAACAGAGCAGTACCAATGGAACCACCAATAGCGATGAGCTGAATCTGGCGGTTACCAAGGTGACGCTGCAGGTCGTCGGAGTTGTCGGTCATCTGGCCATGTTGGATATCGTCACCAGGATACGCCTCGCGGACGTACTCTCCAGAATACTTCTTGTCTTCGGCCATGGTTGCAATGGGGGGTTTGTCGCTTTAGGCAAAAAGGGAATTGTCGCAAGGGAGTATTGTCGCGTATGGAAAGTCGCTTTGGTATGGGGTTTGTCGCTCTGGAGTCGACGCTTGGGGGAGGGATCGACTATCAGTCGCGTGGGGGAGCAGCAAAAGCTACGACAAAATGAGTTGCACTGGAAGCCAGTGAACGGAAGGAAGGCTACAACTTGGTAGAGGAAGTGAGATTGCCCTTGATCAGAACCAGGACCCTGGGGGTAAAGGGCGCGGTACTTATACGGAGGACAGGCGCGGCACACCCAGTGTGCCCTGTCTGTGGATCCTCTCGGTGGTGAGCGCTGCGATGCCACTACGAGTCCAAAGAGGTTTGGTGGGGCGCTAGGCGACCGGCGACGACTAACGCTCTGGGGCGTAGTCCATGTACCGCAATTCTGGGCATGGGATTCGACGGTACAGAGTTTTCAACCCACCCCGGCTGCACTGCTGCGTAGCGACCCCGCTCGTTTTGTCGCACGCGAATGGAGATGCGCCTTCCCTCAGTAGCGGCGTCGACGGCACCACCCTACTGCGCCGGCCTGGCCAAGCCTGGCTCAGCGACGCAGCGGAAACACCTTGTTCGCCCATGGGCAAGCGCGCCTGGGTTAAGCACTGGGGTGGGCGACCAGGGCCCAGGTCCCTCGCCGTTCAAAGACAGTTAAGGGAACGTAATCCAGCGTGGCGGGCCTCCGGTGCTGGCGAGTGGCTGCATGCGAGCATGGCGATGCGAACAACAGGTAGCGGGCCATTTGTCACACCAAGCTCGTGGGTTTCTGGGGTCGGGCGCGATTGCTTCTGGCGTGGCGCTTTGCGGCTGACAGCTCGCATCTTTTGTGAGAAACAGGTCGTCTGATGCCGCCAGCTCCAAGCATGGGAGCCGCATAACGAAGCCTCTGGACCGGCTCTCGGCTGATAACAAGGAAAGAACGCCACGGTGCTTGATTCGTGTTCGCCGCCTTAGATACGTTGAGAGATTGGCATTGCGGGAAGCCGAGCCATGTACAAATCAGATGACGGCATCGCGCGTGAGAAGTACCGGTGGCCCTCGTGGGTGCCCTGGACGCTGCAGCCGGCACACAGTTCTGAATGCACAATAGGCGGCATACGTCGGTCCTTCTCAGTCTGCCATGGAAGTCGTGTGCGACATGAAACTGATAGCCATCTTGGGGTCTGCTTCGGCATTTTGCGCTGGCCGTCTGAATGTGGTCGCAAAGAGCGCGGCGCCTTGGGGTCGGAATGTGGAATCTGCCTACAGGTAAGTTGCCTTATGCACAGCTTGGAAGATCCGCAGCAGTAGCGAATCCCAGGAGATATTCTGTGGAACACTCCCACTGCTCAAGCCTCGAAGGTGATAGCGCTCAGCCTCTCGCATCAGCGTGCGGTCGCTGTTTGCCTAAAAGCAATGGCTTCTCGGCAGTGCCCCATCGTCGGCTGAGCGGCAATCGCGTCGTGTATGTATTGGAGCCCGAGTCGTTTGAGATGCGAAATAATGATCTTGAGGTGTTTTCAGTGAGTAGGAGGTGAAGAGAAGAATGGAAGTCACGATAGCAGCTTGGTAATCTCCTCTCCGACTCCGGCGCCGGCTCGTCGTCGGTTCGTCGCTCCTGCCTGTCCTGCCAAAACTCAGAGAGGAAGCGACAGCGCACAATACGTCTTCACAGGCATGGACTGAGCAGGACAACGTATTCTTGTTTGCGTCTCTCTATTGATGCGCGGACAGCAGACGGCCCTGGGAGACGACATCTATCACCTTGACAGTACCACCTTGCGCTGGAGATGTCCAGCGGCGTACGTCTTGGCCTATAGAGCATACAACTTATCGACCCGATCTGCTTACTGTTATCGAACTATCATCATCGACGATTCACTTCCAGATCGCAGGCTCGCTGTGGCCGATACGTCGAGGCTGTGTGCCGCTGCATGTACATTCCTTCTTCGCTAAGCCTTACGATGCACACATCTAGATCTCTACCGCCGCTTTTAGGTGGTGTGCCACAACACCATCCTGACGATCACAGCTTTTCCGCGGCGTTGTAACACACATTTCTCGACCATTGTTGCTGTTCACTCCTCTGCGCCTACACCATTTGGAGCGAGTCACGCTTTGGAACAAAGACCCTTCGTCTTAGTCATTTCTTATCGGTTTACAGCTGGTGGAGACGAAAGGTCTCCATTTTCGACCCAGACCCACTCTCACTCCCGCCGTTCCGCGATGCTCCTGAACGGACCCTGGAATTGAACGCAGGAACCGAAGGATGTGCGGCTTTTACATGATCCCAGTCATCAATCCAGCATCCTTGGACCTTTTTCTATCGAACTAAGCGGCCATGGCTGCGCACCTATCTGTAAGATCAAGTACAGGAATCTTCTCCCTTCCTGTCCACGGCCTTGAGCTTCTCTCGGTGTTGGCTGTTCGAGTCCTGATGAGTCTGCTATAGCTAGAGGGGTCTCCAACTGGGCATTGTGGATGCCTATCGGTATGCCAAGAACCAGGCAATACCTACGACTACCGTCTTCACGATCTTGTTGAAATTCCCCTGGGAGAAACCAGCTTTCTGAATCTAGCATACTAACATCGCAGGCTCGTTTTGTCGCAGTACGAATATTTGCCTTTTTCGCAAGCAACGCGGTCGCATTACCAGCACCTAATGTCGCTCATCTTTGGACTTCATTTGCGGGTGCTCATAGCGAAAATGGGCAGAACGATGAGTCAAGAGCTGCTTCGTGATACAGTTATTTGCAGCTTGAGCTGGGGCTTAGCAGCGATCTGCCCCGCTCCTGCCGCCTGCCTCCTACCCCTCCATGATACGTTGGCTACGCCTGCACTTTACGAACCTCAGCCTCACGAGCTCAGCCACGAGGTCCCTCTTGCAGCCTGAACAGCATCTTGAGTCTAATTTCTGCACGCATCTGGCATCACGCGCGCTTTTCTCCTCATCCTTGCAACCTCAACCAGTACTTCTTATCACCGAGCATCTCCTTACTCCAAGATCCCTCTCCAACTGGCGTTGCACAGCTGTGATACGTGCCCTCACAAGCCTCCGAGTGTTCTTGTTATAAATCGCGCCTACAACGAAGCTCCACGTCATCTATATTGCGCCTCGAATACTGCTGTGCGACCCATCTTGCATCAATCTCAGAACGGACCCTTTGGGCAGGCGTTCACACCAGTCTTGCGTACCTATAAAGCCTTCATCGACCTTGCGAATTTCTGATATTCACAAACACCAACATTGAACACGCCAGAGAGCACTAAACACCATGTGTCGGTGGTTCGCATATATTTCCCCAACGGAGCCATGCCTTCTCTCGGACGTCCTCATCACGCCAGACAACAGCATCAGCAAGCAATGCTCTGAGCACTATCTCCCGAAACTACTGCCACATAACGAGGAAAAGGATCTGGATGACTCCCCAGATGAGCTGATGCGTATGCGCAATTCATTACTGAACATGGACGGGCTTGGCATTGCTTGTACGTACTACATTCCTTTCTTAGATCATGACACACGCTCCCTGTTGTATGGCGGCACGGCACCGATGTTCACAGCGGTCACGCACCCACTCCATTCAAGGGGAAACCTGAACATCTATTTCCGTAAAGCACAATTTTTCATTCGTAAAAAAGTAGCCTAAAGAGACTACACTGCCTCAATTGGTATACAAACCTCGCCTTGTAGGGCAATGTAGACTTCAGCACACCTGTCCAGTCTTTCTCTTGACTGGGGTGCACCATCATATGGGTGATCTCCATAAACTCCGAGACTTACGAATGCGAAACGCATTATGCCACCAGTCAGTTGACAACTGCTCACATACACCCAGGGTACACCGAAGCGACCTCATCCTACGTTAAGCACGTCACAGGCCCCCGCCCCGCACTCTACAAGTCCCAATCCCCACCCATCAACGACTTCAACTTCAAATCCCTGTGCCACAACACCGAATCGCAATGCGTCTTCGCCCACATCCGCGCCACAAGCGGGTCCGTCGTAACGCAAGTGAACAGCCACCCCTTCGTATTCGGCCGCCACGTCTTCATGCACAACGGCGTCATCTCAAACTTCTCGTCGATCCGGCGCGAGATGACCTCGCTTCTCTCCTTCGACGCCTACTGCAACGTCCTCGGCAGCACAGACTCCGAACACGCCGCCGCCCTTTACATGACCAACCTAACCAACAGCAGCACCAAAGAAGCCTGGGAGAAACCCTACCCCCTCAAGAAGATGCTCGAAGCCATGCAAAAGACCGTCGTTCAAATCCTCACTTTGCAAAAACGCACACTGGGTGAAGCCAACACGCCCAATTCCCTCAACTTCTGCACCACAGACGGAACGAAAATGCTTGCCATCCGCTTCCGCAACCACGTCTCGCAGCAGCCGCCCAGTCTCTATTGGTCTGAGTTTGCGGGTCGCACGCTTAATACGAAGTTCCCTGGTGACCCGGATAGTAAGGATGGCGGGAGTGCGGATGCAGGAGGGGAGATTGGTGAGGCTGGTGCGATGGGCAAGCATACGATCATCGCGTCGGAGCCTACGACGTATGATGAGAAGGAGTGGAATCTGATCAAGAGGAATTGCGCGTTGATGGTCGATGAAGATGGGATTGAAAGGGAGGTCGAGATTGAGTATGATGAGGGGTTGAATGCGAGGGATCCGAATTTTGATGGCCCGGCTGATGCGGTGGGTGGGAAGTAGGTGGATGGTAGTGGTCATTGATTGATGGCTTGAGACTCATACGCATCAACGTAGGAGACAACCAAACATCATGGAGCCTACATGACCGGAAGCCTTACTAGTTTTACTCACTTAATCCTAGTGTAGTCCTGCACATCTTATCAGATCTGTTTTCTTGCATGAGATGCGTAGGATGCGTAGATCATGTTTATCTGCTGTTTTAGCCTAGATGATTTCGTCCCTGTTATCTTTACGCGATCTCTCCTTTGCTTAGGGTTAATTTTAGCGACAAGTATAAATGGGTTTCTTCCTCTTGGATCTGACAGTCACCCTTCGCATAGGCGACTTGGATGTAAGATATATTGTTTGATATTATTACCGATCGGACGCTATTAAATCGAAGACAGACTATGGTACAAAGGCGTCCAGGTATACACGGGAGGTATCTGACAGGTGCCATTGTTGTCGCGGAAACGATTCGCTTTCGCTAAAGTTAAATCTCAAAGTCGATCAAGTGCAAATCCACTCGTCCCAGCGATCACCTGTACCCAGCCTCACCGCTCCACGGTATACCATCCGGTCTAAGTCCCATAGCTTCTTTCTGCTCCATCTGCTTCCTCAACTCGGCTTCTCGTCTCGCGTCTTCCACATACCGCAACCTCTCCCTTCTAGCCTTCTCCTTCAACTCTCCGAAGGGATCGAATCGCTCGCTCTCGGGGTTCTTGAAGGGATTCTGCTGCCAGCTTCCCCGATCCGTGAGCGTTGTACTCCGGGGTCTGTTGTTCAACACATCGTACGCTTTGTTGAGAGGTGGATCTGCGAAAGGATTCGGCGTTGGTGGTACACGGGTAGAGCGTTCTGTGGACACGGTCTCTGGGCGGGAGTATGGACCTGGGCCAAAGAGAGTGTTGCTGCGATCGGTAGAGCGGGTAAGATGAGCGGTTGCTCCGCCGGCATTTCCGCCATTGAGGCGCGCGAAGATCGAAGACGCGTCGCCTACATGTGCAGTCTCCGGGGGTGGGACGTGATCGTTCGCGTATGGATTGAACGTCTCAAACGGCGGACCCTTGTCAATGTAACTGTGCCTCCGCTTCCGGCGCTTGATGAAGACGAAGCCGGCAACTAACAGCGCTAATGCACCTATTCAACAATTAGCAACGGTCTATAGCAGCGACAATGACGATGACTGACCAAGTACACCAAGGACAATTGCTGCAGTCATGGCCTCTTTAGTCATGATAGGCTCTTGTTCTCGTTGTGGCAGCCTCTGGGGACCGGCGTTTCCGTCAAGTTCTGGCTCAGCTGTGTTTTGGGGCGGCGAAGTAAGAGATATCGGAGGCATCGAAGATCGCTCCGGGTTCCCTGTTGGCATGACTTCCTTGACGATTGTTGACGTTATGGTAGGGCGAACGGCGGTAGACAAGGTGGTTTCGCCAGTGATCTGAGGTTGTGCTGCGTTGTTACCACCAGAAGGGCCGCCGAAGGTGAATGAAGGTACAGACGTAGTCGCAGCATCACTCTCTCCTGATGATGTTGGCATTGACGGAGCGGCAGTTGGATCGGGTCCGAGGGTTTGGACGGGCCTTCCCGTGGATGTCGCTGTAGCACCGCTCTGTACTGGCGAAGGTGGCTCCTCCTCGTCTTCGGATTCCGAGTCCTCGCTCTCCGATATGTCACCGCCGACTGTAGATGGGCTGCTGAATGGTGAGTCTGGACTCTCTGGACCTTCCTCCTCCTCGCCCGCAGCGACAGGCATCGTACTCGCGATAGGATCGTCGCGACGAACGCGTCTTGGGAAGATCTTGACCGGCGATGGTCGTCGAAGCTGATAGCGAGCCATGGTAGATATGATGAAAGGTATTAAGTAAATGTACGCTGAATTGCGCTCGCGCAAGTAACATCAACAAACTATAGTAAAGTAAACAATGTCCCCAGGACTAAGAACCGAAAATGAATGTATCCGGTCGACGGAGAAATGAAAATAGTACCTGACTTCCTAAGGAACGATGATCCGCATCAGTCAAGAAGTGGAAAGGAAAGTGAAGCAATGGAGATGGAGACGCCAATGCTATCAATGTGGGATGACGGCTTGGGGGCTTGCCGTCAGGGTCATTACCTTCAGTCGCATAACGTCTCCAAAGCGCGAATCAGTGGGTCAGCTCGGGGCTACCTTGATCCCCAGCGCGGTGCGGAGTATGCCATTGAAACGGCTGTTCTGTTATTGGGCCAACGTTGTTGTCCTTGAAACTAAGGCTCACCTACTGCCACAGTATACAGTGTGCGATCGTCAGGAAAAGAGTATGAAACTGTTGACACGAGCGATGCTAAGACATGCTCTGGCCAGGAAGCTTTGGTTGCGCGGGTTGCGATTGGTCCCGGGGAATACGTGAGACGTCTTGGCGGTTTGACCTGACGATGATGGATCGCGTTGTGCTTCAGCACCTCCACACACGCGGCGGCGGCATATGGGTCGTTAGAGCCACACGCCGGTCTTTTCGTGCAATTTGCGGGTTAAGGCGGTGGTTCTCGAGAGTAAAGCCATGACGCGCTTCGTGGGCCCAGCGCGCGTCAGAGCTGTCTAAAGACGCGTACATCGGACGTTCATCCAACGGTGGGATAAACCTAAACGCGCCAACGAAGAACAGCAAGGAAAAGTCGCGTCAGGTACTTCAGCGGTCGGTATCGCAATCCTCGGGGGTGGTGAGGCACGTACAACCGCTGGCCTCGGGAGGTGAGGAAGAAGGAACGATGCCCCCGAGAGTGGCGCAAGACCCTGGTCGATAAGCGAGGCATTAGCATGATCCGGCCGCGGGCCACCGCTTCTCCGCTGAACTTCTGCATCAACACGTTCGTCTCCTCAGGCCATTTCGCGCATCATCTACTGTCGCGTGCTCACTTGCCTTATGGCACCAGGTGGGACCTGAAGTCACTCATGGAGTACGTCATAGCTTCATGGCGCGAACTGTCGGCAAACTGGATTTCATGCTCGGGCGACCGTACGATGCACGTTTTCCAGATTGACATCAGCAGCCTCAAGTCGAATATTGAAGATGGGTATATTACGTATCGCGAAGTCTATCAAAGGTTCTATTTACGATCATAGTGCAGATGAAGAGGAAACGATGAGCCGTGCTTCGAACGTCATGTCGGGACCGCCCGATCCATACTTTGGCCCAAGCACATCTCATAGTACACACCCTTCTTGTCAAGTAGTTCTTGATGTGTGCCACTTTCCACAATCTTTCCCCTCGCGAACACCATGATCATGTCCGCATCCTTGATAGTACTGAGACGATGCGCTACCGCGACAGTTGTACGTCCACTCTGCGCTTCCTCGAGCGCCGCCTGAACTACCCTCTCGGATTCAGTATCCAGTGCGGAAGTAGCTTCGTCAAGAAGCAGTAGGCGTGGCTCGCGGATGAGTGCTCTGGCGATGGCGATACGCTGGCGCTGCCCACCCGATAGTTGCGTGCCTCTACTACCACACATCGTCGCAAAGCCGTTTGGCAAAGATGCAACGAAGTCGGATATGTTCGACTGCTTGGCTGCGGCTTCGACCTGAGCGTCAGTCACGTCGACTTCAACACCCATGGCGATGTTGTCCCGGACCGAGCCTTGATACAGGACTGGCTCTTGCTGGACCAAAGACACACCTCGGCGGTACTTGCGTGGACAGAGGTCCATCAACGGAGCGCCATCGCAGGTGATACGCCCCGCAACGGGATCATAGAACCTCTCCAAGAGCGAAACCATTGTTGACTTCCCGCAGCCTGAAGCGCCGACGAGAGCAATGAATTGACCGGGGCGGACATCGATATCGATGCCCTCCAGGACCTTGGCGTGGGTCCGAGACTTGTACGCGAAAGCAAGGTCTTGCACCTCAATATGCGCTGGACTCTTGTCCTTCTCGTCGTCAAATGGCGGCTTTGATGCGTCTTCCTGCACTGCAGGCTTCATTGCCCGCAACCGAAAAACGTAGTTGGCCGCAGTGGCCGACTTTGTGAGACTCGTAGTGTAAGAGAAGAAGGCTGCAGCTGCCTCTCCAGAGAAAATGACACCGATGAAGACCGTGAAGAATTGGGTAGTCGTGTATTCTCCCGTGCTGATCAGTCGGCCGCCGTACCAAAAGCCCAGGGCCATTGCCAAGAATGAGATGGACTGCGTCAGTGCGTACCAAAACATGGTCCACACCAAAGCTTTGATGCCGTCTCTTGCGACACCTCGTAGTCGATCTTCGTACCGGGCGAGGATGTGTCTTTCGAGCGCGAGACTGGAGACTGTGCGAATGGCGGAGACTGCTTCGGATGCGAGTGCAGCGCTGCTGGCGAAACGTTTGCCCGTAAGATCTTCTAGCTTGAATTCAAGTCGAATCCTGAGGTACCCAGAAAACACGATTGGAGGCATAGCTGCGCCAAGTCAGTGTCGATTACTGGAGAGAACTGAGAAGTGATACTTACCTCCAAAGACAACTACAAGACCGAGCTTCCAGCCAACCACGATGGCAAGAATCGAGGAAGAAACGATGTTGACGATGTTGATGAAAATGAGCATCAGGTTGAAGCCCATAAGGTCGCGCAGTGCGTCAGGGTAGGCTCCGAGTTTGGAGGCGAGCGCGCCGCTTGCATTGTCTTGATCGTCGAAGAATGCCATGTCTTGCTTGAGGACAAGGTCGAAGATCTCGCGTCTGTATACCCTGGCGACAACCTGTGCGACAACGTTGCTGGCCCAGCCAACAGCGCCATAGACAACAAGATTGCCGATTGCGACAACGAAGAACATCAAGGAGTAAAAGTCGCCCTGTTCTACTGCCCTCTTGGAAGACAGTTGGAAGGCTTCGACGACGCGAGAGAACAGGATGGCTTGAGCTGGGTAGGTCGCTCCTGTGGTAGGTCAGTAACAGTCGAACAAGAAACGAGTTGACAACTTACCTCCAGCTAGTGTTGCAATTCCCAATATGAGAAAGCACTTCCAAAGGGCACCCTGTTCCTTGAGCACTATCCAGGCACACTTCACCAGGTTGTAATTGATGCTGTCTTTGTCGGAAACTTTCGCTTCTTGGCCGATAGCGGATGCTTGAGTCTGCGTCCGTACTAGATCAATCTTCTCTGCGGCAAAATCTTGGTCTTCCTGCTCTTCGCCCTCTGCTTGGCCGAGGTCCTGGGCTCTGACGAGACGAGCGTATGCACCACCAGCAGCGAGAAGCTCGTCGTGTGAACCTTGTTCAACCACAATTCCAGCAGCCATGACTGCGATGTTGTCGGCATTGCGAATGGTAGAAAGCTTATGAGCGATGACGATGGTTGTGCGACCTTGAGAGACACGCTCAAGTGCTTGCTGTACGATCTTCTCTGCCTTTGGGTCCAAAGCGCTGGTGGCTTCATCCAAGAGAAGGACAGTTGGCTCCGAGACGATACTGCGCGCGATGGCTAGTCGTTGCTTCTGACCGCCCGAGAGGTTCATAGCACGCTCACCCAACTGCGTGTCATAACCCTATTCAACGTTAACAATCCATATGCAAGTATCTGAGGAGCAACATGGCTCACCTTTGGCAGCCGCTCGATGAACTCTTCGGCATAAGCGTTCTTGCAGGCCTTCTCTACGAGCGCTCGCTGCTCGCTCTCGGGCAAGTTGGCCTTGTCGGTGCCGAACAAGCCGAATGCGACGTTTTCGTAGACAGTACCGGAGAAAAGCACTGGTTCTTGCTGTACTAATCGGATATTCGTACGTAGCCAGGTGAGATTGAGCTCTCGTATGTCAGTACCGTCGAGGTATATGGCGCCGCTAGCCTGATCATACCATCGCTCTATCAAGCCGATGATTGTCGATTTGCCGCTGCCTGATGCTCCTACGAGGGCTGTAGTCTTTCCAGCAGGCGCAGATAGCGTTAAGCTCTTCAAGACTGTGATGTCAGGTCTAGCGGGATAGGCAAAGCTGACGTCTCGAATCTCGACAACACCTTGACACACGCTAGGCACCTTGCCATCAACACTCAAGGGATCAATCTCGGACTTCCGATCGATGGTTTTGAATAACTCGTCGGCAGAAGAAGAGGCCTTCGTCAGAGATATGATCTGAGGTGCTATTGTTGTCATAGCGGTTGCTGCGACAATGACAGCGAGGATGACGGTAAACACGTCGCCTGTCAACGGATTAGTACATAATAGTATCAATCGGGTAGATCTGAGGAACAATTCGACCCAGGTCGGTGCTTCACATACCACTCTCTTGGACTTCGCCCCTGGCCCACATCCGGATGCCTTGCCAGAAGGCCAGACCATAGCCCGCATAGATGCAGAAGAACTCGACTGAGAACATGACGGCATAGTTCGGGGACTTCTTCATACCAACCTCCTGGGCATCGCCAAGAAGCTTGTCATACTTACTGGACAGCAATGGATGAAGCCAGAACGCGTGAACCGTGCGCACAGTCGCGAAAATCTCTTCCGCAAGTTGTCCGGCTTTGGAGTAAATCGGTAGCAATTGATTCTCGTTCTTGGTATCAATGCCGATGGAAACACCGACAACGATCATGATTGTAGGAACGATGCTGATCGTTATCAGGGTAAGTTTCCATTGGACGATGAAGGCGATGATGAATGCTGAGACGAAGGTCGATACACCTTGAACGGTCAACGTGAGCTTCTCCGATATACCGTTGTTGACATTGTTTCCGTTCGTCGTAGCCTGTGTCGTGACCGAAGCGGCTTCATCTGAGTCGAAGTATGCGATGTTCTGGCGGAGAATACTCTTGATGAAGTCCAATCGTAAGGCCTTGGTGGTGCGGATGGCTGCGATGGATACAAATGCCTGCGAACGTGAGCATGCTTTCACGGATGTAGCTTGTTAGTCACATACCGAGTGAATGTAGACGAGACCAAACTTCGCAACAAAGAGGTAGATGAAGTACAATGTGTATTTGTTCACTTCGGCACGATATTGCGCTGGCGTGATCGAGCCAGTCGCGAACCCAGTGAACGTCGAGATGAACTTGCCAAAGACCAGATCCCTGTGTGATGGAGGATTCCGTTAGTGTGTGATTATTGATTGATCGACGATAGGTCTTGCGAGAATCTTTGACCGTCCTTGACACGTAGTGTGAGGCCCGGACAACTTTCCATTGATGTTTATCATTTCACATGAACGAAACAATAGCAATGCGCAATCATCCAGGCCACCACGTTTCGAACATTGATGGAGGGGACAAAAGATCGTGATGTGTGCATGTCTCTTACATTAACGGAAGTAGTGTTCCAGCGGCGATGGCTGCAACGAATGCGATGGTGTTGAGGATCCAGCTTGTACGATCTGCATACTTGAAGATGCGCTGGTATGTCGTGAGCATCGTGTTCCTTCTAATTTGTTCAATACACTTACGACGTAGCCACCCATGCCACCCTTTGGCTCTTCAGACGTGACATCGCTTTTGACTGTCGGCGCCTTGCTTGTCTTGACGTCATCGCTGGCGCGCTGCTCGGGCGTGTCGACCATTTCTTTACTCGTCGACATGTTTGGGGTGAGTATTGCAGTCCTTGGACGATTGGACTGCAGTGCGCCACATTGATATCTGAAGCCATCTCGTCGAAGTTGCGCACATAGCTCATGTTTGCCGGACTTTGCAAAGTCCGGATCCGCGGTGAAAAGGGCGATCAGAGGGCGCGTCGCAAGCGGCTGAAGATTTCCCAAATGGCGCGGGATACGAGCAATGCGAGCCAATCGGCAAGTCCCGGGCCTTGGCACAGTCACGAGATCGCGCGTTCTTCGTAGTGATGCCTGGTGAGGCCGAATGCTGCATCTAGACTTCAAAACCCTGTATCTTCGACACTCTGGAAGGTTTAGTTGGTGAGATATTGGACTGCTGCCTGTCGGTGCGAGATTTCTGCTGTTAGTGATGACATCGTTGATAGTTCCCACAGCCCCGGGTTCCGAGAAGCCCGCGCTCCGATAAAGTCCACAATATCCGCCACTCTTGCACACCACGCGTAGAATACTGCGGCTCGGATTGCGTAGCTGACAATATGGAAGACGACGATATGGATGCGTCGCTTGATGGGCCCATGTCCAAGCGTGCGGTAAGTCGCATGAGCCAGCCACCCAGATCAGCGCCCAGATTGACGACCCACATCTAGTGCGATGCCTGCCGGACACGCAAGATACGTTGCGACAGAGGCGTGCCATGTTCCAACTGCAAAGCAAGCAAATTGAGTATGATTTGTTGGGCCTGAACTTGAAGTTGCCGCTGATTCGTGCAGCTTGCAAAACAGCTCCCCCTCAACAGAAAGCGCAGCGACAAAGGGTTCACATATCTGAAGAATAGTACGTCTGAACCGCTTCCAAAGTGGACCTCGCTGCTTGTGGCGTCAGCCTTACCCGTCGACCGTTCTTTGCCCCGCGGCCAAACAATCGAATCGTGCTGATCTGGCGTTGAGTAATCTTGTTCGAGCTGACTCGATTTAGCGAGAAGAAGATTGATAGAATTGAAGACCGCTTAGCTGGTATTGAGAATGTTCTTGCCAGTCTCGCAACGAAACTCGGCAGTCTGGACCTCCAGAAAGACTCGCATGAATCCAGCAGCCAATCGCGGTCGAGCCGAGTTGGCCCTTCAAGGAGTCCTGGAAGTGTCCTCGTCGAAGCCCCCACACCCGCGCCATTCGAGGGCGAGAGTTCTATCAATAGCCAGTCAGACTATGCTCGCGAGATGCTGGCACGAGCGATCGGGAGTACACCCTCTATTGGACAGAATGAAGAAGTCAAGTTGGCACTTACTGCTCTTTCGGAGATGGTCTCTCAGCACGGCCAAAACCCTGCAACTTCCAACCCCTTGATCAACCAGTCACTTGTCGACATTGACCCATCGAAGCTGGAACGACCGCCTTGGGAAATTGCGTGCTATGCTTTGGAGAAAGCTAGTGGTATGTCTACAGACTTTGTACCATTCAAGCCGATCTGACATGACCAGAATATCCAACTATGGCCTTCGCAGTGGTGTTTCCGTTCTTGAGAATGGCCAATCTCAAAGAGATCTTCTATGATGTGTATCATAACCCAGAAACTTGTAGCGCCGCTCGCCGTGTGCTCACGTTCGGCGTGTTGGAGAACGTGTTCAACGAATTCCGGACCTTGCCACTAGTCAATATGGACACCACCAACTATCAATCGTACGCCATCATAAGTCGCAGGCAAACAGAGGTAGCACTGTCGCAGCTAGCTATATTCTTACCGGCAAGCTACGAGAATATTATGGCTTTGGTCCTTGGCGCTGCGCAGGCGGTCGAGATGTGCAAGCCATCTCTTTGCTGGATTATGATATCCAGCGCTGCGGGCTTGTGTCAGAGCTTGGGCTATGTAAGCAATCATGTGCAAAATGCGTGTGAGACGACCGCTAACGTCCTGCATTTAGCATCGAATCAACACTATGATAGACGACAATCCCGAAGACAGACAGACGAAGATCCATATCTTCTGGATGATCTACATGCTTGACAAGACGCTTTCGCTACGTTTGGGTCGCTCAAGTATCCTCCAGGACTGGGACATATCGTTACCGTTTGTAGTATCCAGCGACCCTAACGACAAGCACGCCGAATCAAGCGCCTTCTTATCGTACTGGATTAAGGTTGCGCGAGTCCAGGGCCTGACATACGAGAAGCTATTTTGCCCTGCCGCCTTTACAAGATCTACGGAAGAGCGCACGCGAATCGCGATTGAACTTGTCAACAGTCTTAACCAAGCCTGGTACGAGCGTGGGGATGCGTCGATCGTCGACTTTTCGCAACAAGGCCAAACGTATCATCTCGGTACGCCGAGATCGAACAAAATAGGCAACAGTCCAAATGAGACACCACTCCCGTCTCAATACAAGCGCTATGTGCACAAATCTCAGGGTAAACAAGGATCAGAAGTCAACGAATACGTTCAGGGTAAGTTTCACCGTCGGCGAGATTTGAACTGCACTGACTTTCTTGGTTGAAGGCTCTTTCGAGAGAGTCCAAGACATCTTCTTTCACTCCGATGTCGTCATGCACTATTCTACCTGTGCACTCATACAGCGCGCGGTCAGTCCAGGAAATATGAGCTTTAATCAGGAGTGCCTCGAATCCTCGAGAGCGGCCCTTGTCGCCCATATGAGGGCTAGTGCACAGTTCAACAAAAAGGGTCAGGAGGACCTCTGGTCGGGATATGTACATTGGTCGGTTCTTCAGGCACCGTTCACACCGTAAGTCACTTGATGCTTTCCAGCGCACGGTCGCAGCTAACTCATACCTGCAGTTTCATTGTGATATTCTGCCACTCCATCCAAAAAGCCGATACGTCCGACGTTGAACCAGATCTAAACTCCCTTTCCGAATTTGTCGGCAGCCTGGAATCTTGCCGCACAATTTCCGAAGGTGCAGACAAGCTCTACAAGATGTGCCATCTTTTCCTACGAGTTGCCAGGCTCTACGTCACGGCTAAGAAACAGGATGCTGCGTCAAGATCCCGGGGAGTTATGCAAAATAACCAGTCAGGGTATTATACAACCGTTGATGGCACGCAGCTGGACCTCAACGCAATGTCCCAATTCGATCCGTACCTTAGTGCGCTTGGATTGATGCCTGATACCGCATGGCCCACGACATATCCCAACGCTTCCACTGCAGCCACGACGACCGCGTTTGAGAAAGGCGAGGCGATGAATAACATGGATGCCGTTGGTTCGTCCGGCTTCGGTTTTGGAGCGTCTCAGGGAAATTCCAATCCCATGCAGGACTGGTTCTCAGGCTCGCGCTATCTCATGAACCTTATGGAGCCAGGCGACGATCTACAAATGCCGGATCTAGACCTGTAACACACGTCATCAGGGAGGACGACATGGTTTCCGGCGTTTAGAAGACGGTGGACTGCTTCGGCGGCATTCTGGTTGTCACTGACATATACCCCACTCTTGACATTGCTAGATGTCCACTATTTGCATTTATGCCTGGGTTCTATGCTGAAGGCTCTCGCGAGAGAGCTTCCATTCTATTTTATTTGTTGGCGTCATTGAATACCAATCTAGATTCCAAAAGCTTGTGTTTCGTAATATGATGACGTTCAGCCAACTGGTTTTCCATGACATGAGTGCAGACGCGAGCCGACGTCGCAGATTCTCTTGCATCATATACTTGTTCGCTCTCATAACACTGCCCATCTATGGAAGGGCGTCATCGTTGCAGCCACCAATTAGAGCAATTCGACAGCGATGCATGTGCCCTCTGCCCAAGCAGTTGGAAGAACAAAGCATGATGCTGCATAACAAAGGTGCGTAAGCGGGGCGAAATGCTCGGACTGTGATGCGAAACTGAAACAGCCTGTTTCATATGGGGAAGAGAAGCTTGAGTGAGCAACATGCAGCATGCAACAATGGCAACAAGGGTGTTCGATCACTCATCATGAGCATTAGATTTGTTACGTGATAATGCTGCTCCACGCGCTGATATATTGTCGATGCTATTATGCTATTTACACGCGCCGTCTCCAACCGGCAAGAAAGCTAAGCCTACACATCAAGGTCCGGCATCGCATTGTCGTTAGCCCAATCCTTGATCTTGTCGAAGTTCCTGCAAACATGGTGACTCTCGTAGTCAGGCCAGTATCCCTCCTTACCCTCCTGCGGATGGAAAGTAAAGACGTTGACGTCAGAAAGACACATGAGGTTCATGCGGAGGATCTCAATGCAGTGATCTAGATGCGCCCTGACCTTTTCAGGCTTGTCGTTGGTGTCGCTCCACCAGAGCTTGGGGTAGTAGTCGGGGTAGGTTGACATGCGGAGGAGGTTGAGGCAGTGCAGTTGGTGGAAGACTTCAAGTCCGACTCGGTAGCCTGTTTCGCCTGTCTTGGGGTCGGTGACTTGTAGGGCGTCGGCGGGCTTTTGTAGCTTGGGGAAGTCTTCCATCGAGACCATTTGGTCGGGCACTGTGATGTGTTAGTGATGGGGTTTGGGTGGAGAGGGCGCGGGTATAGGGGCGTAGAGATGATGACTTACGATATGCAACGTCCATCCATGCGTTCTCTACATCATCCGTAATGCCGACATACTTCGAAGAGTTCAAAGGGTTGGGTAGTTCAAATTTTGTGTGACTGTACTCAACAACGTGCTTTGCAGGCGCTAGGTCATATCAGCCAGTATTCATTAGGGGTACGATTAGGATCTGAGTACCTACAGAAGATGTCGAACTGATCCATTAGCTTAGCCGCCGAGTGGCCCGAGTAGTCTTTTTGCGACATGACCGAGCATAACAACGACAGCATTGACACTGTGAAAAGGAACAAGTTGAATAGTGTGAGATAGATGTAGCTTCTCCGCCGTTGCCTGTCATCGCTTTGGTAGGGTGTTGTAATAAAAGCGGTATTCTCGGCGTCGCCTTGCGATGAGCTGGAATCTGTGTATTTTTCCATGATGTTTTTCGATTGCGCGAAGAATACAATGAATGAGATGAAAGCACAATAAAGTGATGTTGAAAGGAGAAATATTAGTCGACCTGCGATAGAGAAGAGAATGCTGCGCTCAACGCTTGAATAGGACGAAGATGAATAGAGATGGAAGACCAGCGAGCGAGTAAGTGGGAGACGTTGGCGCGAAGACTATGGTAGACCTGCCAACATCGACCCCCGATACGTTCTCGGTATCGCCATGGGTAGGTCACCGAAACACGGAACATCTCAAAGGGTGCCGCTATGCCGTGCAGGCCGCTTTCTCCAAGGCGTCTTGTTCCATCTGCCCAGGCAACAATAGCCTTGCTCCAAGGCATCAAGCTTTTACCAAGCCTTCTGAGACGCAGAAGGCGGGATCGTCGCCGCTTTTTCGTTGGTTCAACTGTTGCATGGGTTTCGAAGTGGACACTTAGCCAAGACTGGATGTTCATAATTCGGCACCATCGTTTCAGCTTGGCGCGCCAGCCAAAACGAGATTCTTACACTGACATGACACGCACATGGAACAAACGTCCCAACCGCATGATGACAGAACAACGGAAATAACGTCAAAAGTTGCCAGGGCTGGAACAACAGAACCGCGGCTGCGCGCCAATGGTTTCCGAGGCTAAACCCTTTCTGGACTAGTCTCGACCAAATGAGTGGTCAGTTCCCGAGGACCAACAGTCTCTATCAAAGCAAGCTCCAGATCGCATTGGCGATGCGCGAAAGGTACCCGGTGGATGTTGTCGCGGAGCCTGAGGCAGGACCTCGTAGCCTGGCGGCTGGGTTGGACATGACCGTGTTCTCGAGACACCGACAGGCCTTGTCGACGGCTGGCGGTGTCGTTGGTGGAGACGCCAGGCCGTCAAGACTTTCTGTGTTTGGCTTCCCATGCAAACGCCGTCCATCGCCATCGCATCGAAGCGAGCACAGTGGCTTCCTGCAGGCGGCAGGTGGGGTGCCACCTCCGCTTCTGTGCCGTAGGCAATGCAACATGTCTCAGGAGTTGAAGGCGAGAGCGAGCAAGCATGCAACCGCCATGCCTACCAGGAGTCGAGTTGACTTATAAAGCATCTCGAAGCTCCAGAAGTAAAAGGCATCAACGTTGAACGTGCTCATTCCTTCTCACATCCTGCTCAGTTCTGTTTCATCCATTCTTCTCTGCTGGCAGATCCATTCTTTCAACCGATTCCAGACTCAGTTAAACTTTATTCAATATGAGATTTACCGCACTTACTCTTTTGGCCCTGGGTGCCTCAACCTCTGCCTACGTTGTGCCGAACAACAAGCAAGCCGTTGACAACGCTGTCAAGGCACGCATGCCAGTAAGTTATGCGATTATCCTGGGCATGTCATAAACTTACAGTTCTCCAGGGAAGCGGACCAGTCCACACATCTAACCTCGTTGCTGCCCTTGCAGGCCGTGGAGTCGAAGCCCGTCACCACAAGGGCAAGGGTGGAAAGGCTGGCGGTGCTGGTGCTGGTGCCGGTGGCGCCGGCGCTGGTGGCTTGGCCAAGCTCTTCGGCCGTGATGCTGAAGAGTTGACCCAGGAAGAGGACGATGCTCATTGGGCCGACCTCCACACTCGCTCTCCCCATCACAAGGGCAAGGGTGGAAAGGCTGGCGGTGCTGGTGCCGGTGCCGGTGGCGCTGGCGGCTTGGCCAAGCTTTTCGGCCGTGACGCTGAAGAGTTGACCCAAGAAGAGGACGACGCTCACTGGGCCGACCTCCACACTCGCTCTCCTCACCACAAGGGCAAGGGCGGAAAAGCTGCTGGAGGTGCCGGTGGTGCTGGTGGCCGGGGCAAGCTCAACAACCGCGAGGCCGAAGAGCTGACCCAGGAGGAGGACGACGCTCACTGGGCCGACCTCCACACTCGCTCTCCCCACCACAAGGGCAAGGGCGGCAAGGCTGCTGGCGGAGCTGGTGGCCGAAAGGTCAACAACCGCGAAGCCGTGCCCGAGCCCCATCACAAGGGTAAGGGAGGCAAGGCTGGAGGTGCTGGCGGAGCCGGTGCTGGCGGTTTGGCCAAGCTGTTCGGACGCGAGCCTGAGCCACACCACAAGGGCAAAGGAGGCAAGGCCGCTGGTGGTGCTGGTGGAAAGGCCAAGCTCAACAACCGCGAGGCTGTCCCCGAACCCCATCACAAGGGCAAGGGAGGTAAGGCTGGTGGTGCCGCTGGTGGTGCTGGAGGTGCCGGTGCTGGCGGTTTGGCCAAGCTTTTCGGACGCGAGCCTGAGCCGCACCACAAGGGCAAGGGAGGCAAGGCAGGAGGTGCTGGCGGCGCTGGCGGCAAGGCCAAGCTCAACAACCGTGAGGCTATGCCTGAGCCTCACCACAAGGGCAAGGGAGGAAAGGCTGGAGGTGCCGGCGGCAAGAACAAGCAGAACAACTAGACGGACCTTGCACCCTTTGGACTTACCACGATAGATGTTGGGGGGTAGAAGAGTTGGTGGCGCGAGTAACCTGGATGATTCCTTTAGTATATCTTTTTCCTCATAATGTAGATACGGATGAAAACAATCTGATCAGTGATCAAAGAAAGCCCGGCGTCTGGACGTATACATTGGTCTCTGTGATATGAGTGTGATTGGTCATGAGCCATCCTGGAGGTATTCGAGCGACTTGAGAAAGTTGTGCGTCGTGTGATAGTTGCTTGAATATATCCCCGCTCTTTCTGATGTGGGGTGACCGACGATCCCCGTGCACGGATTCCCAGTGTCTGCTACTGTCGAGTGATAACAGTCTTGCTACACCGATATGACGTGGTAGAGTACGACGTTATAGTCGATTTGATCTTACCTAAACGGTACAACCATGAGGCGTGTTATCGGTGTCATGGTATAACACGCAGCCAATGACACGGAGGACACATACAGGCGATAGGCGCGCGAGGTCAGCAGTAGCGTCTCCAAGCGTGGAAAGCTAGACCTCGCCAATCACAGCTATCGCATCGGCAAGATGGGCAAATGCCTGTAAAGAAATATGTTAGTATGTGTTTCTCCGAACGAGGATGAAAATATCTACCACACATGTGTATGCTTCGGTGCCTGTGGGACTAGACTTGTTGACAAAGTATAGTCTCAACATGTCCGCAGCATCTCCATCGATTCCGACTGCCGTTTTGGTGAACATGATCAGACCCCGGTGGCCTACAGCTGTTGATGCGCGTTGTTCAGTTGTCGTATGCAACCTCAAGCCGGTGGGCGCCGTGTGGTGAACCGGGCGATGGTAGGACTCGAACTTGCTTGAAGGTCCACAAAGAGCGACCGTGATGGATCTCATGGCCTCCTACATAGTGGCTATTGAAGGTTGCGCCGTGTGTCCAAGTTTCCGGAGTCGTGGTTACACAGTGCTGCGCACTCACCGCTGTATGCCAGTGGGCAGAAATGATGGTAACGATAGTGAGCTGCACAGCCCATGGCGAAGAAGATGTCGTGGGTGGTGCGTTTGCGAGAAGCAGGTAGATGGAGCAACGCACACCACCCAGAGCTTGTACTGCAACGTGGTCGACCGATCCTGTGGGTGACTTGAAGCGCGTGTCACAGCTCGGACATCATTTCGTCTCGTCGGGGTGAGTTCCGGCTTACGACTCCCGCCGCGATATCGCCGTCGATGGTTGGTGGCTCGTCGCAAGCTGAACGGCCTCGTTTGCATTTAGGTTTCGCCGCCGCATATAATGTATTCGCTGAACGATAGCGCGATGTTGATATGTATCAAAGATTGGTCGAGGGTCATTCGATGCGAATTGATGGGGATTGATGGTTGTGCATGGGCGAAGACTCCGATGGCTCGGGAAGGATCGTCGCATCCAAAGTCAAATCACTCGCTGGTCTCATCGGGGCTAACTCCGTCGTAGTATTCGCGCACAATAAAGGAAAATACCGTGGCATTGGCCCGACGCAATGTCGTCGTCTCAGTCCATTCCCACTCCGTACATTAAACCATCACCTGTCAATTCAAACGGCGCTTTGCGACGTGCCTTTCACTCGTCGGTCCTCGCTCGCTTCCTGCCTCGATGACCCACGCTCAGAATCGGGATATCTTTCCATTCACCATAGCCGACATTGTACCCGAGGCGGTTGAAGAGTCGGCGGATGTGCTGGAAGCACTCAAGGCTTCGGTCTGACCAGTAGTGGTAGGCGGCCGCGCGGAGTGATGGATCTATCATCAACAATTCCCTACGAATGCCGAGCTGAGGGTCCGTTACGTGTCTGAGTACAAGATCGCAAGTGTGTGACCATTGATTGACGATCATCGACCAGAATTGGGGGACGCCGTCGATGTTGGCGTTCTCGGCAAGCCGGCTGAGAAATGTTAGTTAAACTGAGCAATGCCATATGCTGAACCGGAATCGAACACTTACCGAATGTCCACGATGTTCATGATAGTGCTGTAATGAGACGCAACCATGTCTTTTGTGAAGTACTCCTCGTACTTCCTCAGACGATCAGCCTTGGCCCGATTCATGAATGGGACCAGCTTCGCCTGTTCGCATTCGAGTGCTGACTCCCAGTACGGGCTACCATTGGGTGGGTCAATGTCAAAGACCGGGGGCGCGTCTTTCATCACCCGGTAGAGTTCGCGAGCGCGCTCCAGCCGCTTCTTGTTCAGACCGCGGGCACCAACAGCAGTCGAATCAGCAGACTTCCAAGCATGAGTGTATTCACGTTCCCATAACTGCTGAAGATCTGCGATGCCTTGTTCATATACCGCGCGGTTTGCGTCTCGATTAGCAATTCCTGCTTCACCTTCGCCTTCGACCTCAAACTGACAGATACATGCATCCAGCATCCAGTTGGTGATCAGTACTTTCACATTGAGAGTACTGAGCTTCCCGCGGATGAATCTCTGTATGAACGACTTGGGTCCGTAACGCTCAGTCTGCACGGTATCTCGGGCCCTGTTGAAGACGATCTTGGCGAGCGTTTGCCCCGCTTCGTCCTCAGGCGCACCAACGATAGCGTGAGACATGCCAGCAGGGACTGTGCCGTAGTATGCGCCCACAAGTCGTGCTCTCTCGGTTGCGATGTCTTGGGTGACAGGCCAGACTGGGTCATTCACGTCGAAGTCACTCTGCGGAGACCTTGCCGTTACTGCAGAAGATACATAGTTAGCATTGTACGATACACAGTGTTGCGGTCAACTTTACCGCGCTGCGGCTGCTCATTGAGCTCAGCCCATCGAGTATGTGCCGGAATCTCAACATGGATCGCCGGAGGTACGTCCAACGATACTGTCGCCATTGTGGCGAGGGAGGTTGTGATACGAAGTGTGTAAATATGAAGGAAGTATTGTGATAAGATGCTGTAAAGAAGAGACCTCGGGAGTGTAGAAGACTGGAAGTCAAGTCAGCAGCAGAACTGAAGTATATAATTCGCCCATCCAGCCCACTGCCTTACCTGACCACGGGAGGAAGCTGAGCCACGTGGTTCTCTCACTCCAACCTTTACTGTGAGCACAATGTCGGGATTTCCGGCTTGACCAACGGTTCTAGGCGGTCTGTTACTATGGAGCGGCAGGTCAACCTTGGCCCCGGGGAAGTCTGCTCGTAGGCGGTTGTGCAAAGCTGCTCTTCAGCTTGTACATGAGCTCGACCAATCTCATGATTAACATCGCGTACAATTGAGCCGGGGCGGCCTGATCTTCATCGGTAATTTGGGTACCGCCAATGTGGGCGTCTAGTGAGTGAGTTCACCCGCTTCTCCATGAAGCCGTGAGTGGTGTGAGCAAGCAGCAGCAGCAGTAGCAGCGACGACGGAGCTACACTGTGCGAGGAAGGAGCTACTTTCTTCCTAGCTAACTCTTCGTTTTGCCTACTACAGCACAGCTCATTAGAACATTACCAAAATGCATCTGTGACCTGGGCGGCTACAATGGTCTAGGGACGTGAAGCATTTGTGAGGATATATTGATGTAGACGCCAGAATAGCGTGTGGTTTCCTGATTTGTGAGGCGCGAGACGCGTTTCTATCCAGCACCGGCCATCCTTGGCACACATGTGACGTCATCCATCAGTCCAATCCACCGAACTCCTCACGACAAATGCCATGTTCATCCAGTTCGCAGCGTCTCCATCTTCCCGTCCGACAGTACAGGGGCCCCCCTACAGGTCTAGTTGGTGTTCCGTCCATCTTTCTCAGGCGCTGAGCGCTTCTTGCCTCGAGTATCTGGGACCAACACAGGGATATCCTTCCATGATCCGTTTCCTGCTGCCCCAAAGTCCAGAGAGTTGCGAAGGCCGCGGATGAGATCGAAGCATTCGGGGGACCGGTCAGCCGACATGTCGACGCTTGCCATTCGGAGCGAACGATCATTGAGCAGCAGCAGCCTACGCTTGCCGTCCTCCGGCGCGATGATAAGACGATGCAGAAGCTCGCAAGAGTACGCAAACACGTTCCCTACAATTGTGTGGAACGGAGAGATGACATCCGGAGGGTTCGCGACTTCATCGATGCATATGCGCCTGTGGGAGATTAGTAGTGTGCAAGAAGTCTTGATAATGTCCGTAAAGTAGGTACTCACCGAATGTCGACCACAGACATCGCTGCCTCAAGGTCAGACGCGATTGTGTCTTTGGTGACGTGATCGAACCAGAACCTGACGCGCTCGTCCATCGTACGGTCCAGCAACGGGATAAACTTTGCTTGTTCGCATGCGCGCCGATCGAGGAGCGTCGCAACGTCGACAGCGCAACGGGGCGGGTTTGCCATGAGCGTCTCGCAAAGGTCGCGGGTTCGTGCCAATCGGACTTTCCCAAGACCACGTGCTTTTTCGTGTGCTGCTTTAGCCTTGTTGAATGCGACAGTGTAGGTGTCGACCCAGACCTACTCACTCGATGCCATTGCATCGAGTAACGCCTGGCGTTTGGTGTTGCGACGAACAATGGCTCCCTCATCCTCGTTTGGAACCGGGAACTCGCAGATGCGCGCGTCGATGGCGAAGTTGTGTTGACTGGTCAAGAAGTTGATCGTGCTAACCTTGCCGCGAGCGAACTTGTAGATGAAGGAGCCTGTGCCGAACTTCTCGACAAAGAGGTCGCTCTTCATCCTGCGAAAGGTCTTTGCGGCGGTGGCTGTTTTGGCAGCGTCGACGTGCAATCCCACCACAGTGGCCAAGAAACCATTGGGAACAGTACCATAGTACGCTACAATGACTCTTCCGACCTTCTTGGCGTTGGCCATGCTGACTTCCACCTTTGGAATGCCAGTGCTGATGCCGCTGCCTGGAGTACCTGCAGTGACTGCGGGTATACAGTCAGTATTCGTAGATTGAACGGAGACGAAAGGAAGCTTACTGCGTTGTTCCTGTTCGTCCAGCTCTGCGTAGAGTGTCGACATGGGAGCTTCGCAGTTTATCTCCATGACAGGTATTACACCAAAGTCGGCCATGTCGAGGATTGTGTTTTATTCGATGTTGAGTTATGAAAGATGTCGAGTGTGGTGTAGGAGACTGGGAGATAGGTCAGTAACGAGGTTGAGTACATACCCGTCGATTAGGCCTGTTACCTTTACCTGAAGGTGAGAGAAGGCGGCGTAACAGTGGGCACATGGCCGCGTGTACGTATCTTACCTCGACACGGAAATCGGATCTACATCGGATCTACATCGTACTGTTCAAATTGTTGTACTTGTCTGCAGAGGGGTCAGTGGACAAGGAGACATGGTATGCGAACTACGGCCTACTCTACACTGCCTCACTGCACCATCCACGAATATGAAGAAGCGTCACGGAAGACGCTACCAACTGTCTGTATGCATTTGCTAAGGGCTGAGAACAACGAGTACGATGAATATCTCCAAAGTGTAACTTTACTAGTGAATTCGAAGCCATTCGAATTCCTGCGGGATGAGATTCTTGTTCTCTGCTAGCAACATTAAACAATTCTACTTCTGCATCCCCTTAGTTCCCATTTACCTCCTCTTCTTCCGTCTCAGTCTAATCCTGCTCGCCGAATGAAGATAGAGCCAGGGGGCGCGGTATAGGGATTACTTTCAAGCCACTCATCTTCTTCACTGTCTATAATCTCATCCTCATCGTCCTCATCGTCCTCATCGTCCTCTTCATCCTCTTCATCCTCTTCTTCCTCCAACTCAGAACTGTTTGTCTCACCATCTGCATGTTTCTGCCTCAGAGCCTCTCTTCGTTTTGCCATCTCCTTAAGTTTCTCCATCGATTTTCTATCTTCTTCCCGCTCCTTCTCTTTCTGCTCTTGTCGTTGCTTCGCTTCTATAGCTTTCGCCTCCTCTTCCTGCTTCGCCCATTTCACCTCCAATTCTTCGGCTTCGCGTTCTTGGCGTTCCTTAGTTTTCTGGATACAGCTCCACACCACAGTCGTCGTATACCCGTTTCTGAAGTGGTCTTTACTGCCCATTTCGCACTGCATCCTCATACACCCGTTGCCAGCAAACCACATCTTGATTTGTCGACATCGACTCGTTGTTTTCACGGTTATAGGCTCGAGTGACGCATGTTGTGGCATGTCGAACGCTTTTAGCTTCCCCTGTAGCCCTTTTACATCGTTGATTATGCCGCCGAATTTGCCGCATTTACCGCATTTGCCGCATTTGCCGTTGTGAAGCTTTGAGTGAGGATCATAGAACTCGAGTGCTCGATCCTGTTCCCATTATTTGAAGTCCACATTGTCAAGCTCATCAAATAAGTACTTTGTAAAGACTTCGCTTGAGAACATGTCCCAGTCCTCCTGGGGTAGAAATATATCTTTCTTAACGTAGGGGCTTTCGATGCGTGGGGCAGGTTTGCTTTCTTCTAAAGTTTGTCGAAGTGACGCAAATGCCGCGTTGACTTGGGCGTCGCGCTCCATTTGTTCGTGAATCCAAGAGACGTTTAGGCCACGGAGTACGCCTTCAGGGTCGCCTTTGGGGGCATTGAGTTTGTAAAGCACATCGGGTCGATGACGACATGGCTCTTTTCGTGTGCTTTCAACCCTTTTGGTGATTTCCGACTTTGCTGCTTCCAAGCCATTGGGAATGGGGTCTGGTGGTGGATCCGCAGGCTCAATCTTGGACTTCTTCGAGGTTGGTACGGCGGCCTGGGAGGTCTCGCTACGGACGGCTGCGGTGCGCTTTGGTGGCATGTTGGGAATGGAATGACAATAAAAAGGAATGCCTTGTTACTTATCGGAGAGTACACTGAAGATACGGCACCAGGATATATACGTGAGTCGCAAAGAGGAGGCGAGGAGCTACAAGGATGCGTGCCATCGACGTAATCAGCCCCAGTTGTTGCCAGACGCTGCTCCGTGCTCGCTCGTGTCCAGGTTTCCTTGGATAGGAGCATCTCGACGTAATGCGGCGTGGAATATGCCCATCCTGGGCCAAACCAACAGTTGTCACATTTCCTTGTGGATCACGGATCGAAGGCCAAGTAATGGGTATTGTGATGCAGCGTTTCGTTGATATTGTACACATTGCCGGATCATCATGGTATCCTCATGTCACATATGATACATGCGCAGTGCGCCCAGGGTGCGCAGACCTGGACCCTTGACGTAGCAAAACGTGGGGTAAAGCTTCCCTCTCCTCTCCGGCCCTCTTCCGGCACAGTTCTTTTTTCTGCCCCCCTGCGCTATCATGAATCTGTACAAGCCTGAAGCGAAGAATATGCCGTCCGTCGATCCATGCCATGCATGCCAAAAGTAGATCCCTACAACTCCAAAGTGTGGTTGGTGCCGCGTATCTTACACAATGACCTCTCCGTGGTCGACGTGGTTCGGCCGCCACTTGCTTGTATCCAACTCGCCTTCCATGCTGCTTGGGACGGTGACCTCGACCGGCTTGTAGAGGTACCACGCCTTCAATGCTGCTGCCGCTGCTCTTGTCTTGGCCTCGTCTAATGAGCTGCCTGATCCCTCTCCCAGCTTGTCCTTCCCGCTGTACACACCAACCACGAAGACAGGATGTCTGCTCAAGCGACCGGTTTCTGAGATCAATCGGGCGACCGGTGGCTCGAAGCCTTCTCGTGCGCATAACCGTGAGAGATCGCGTGTCGGCATTCGGAAATCGAAGATTGTGCTGATGTCGAGATGTCGGCTGAGGAAGTGGTCGCGGAAGAAGCGCTTGACAAGTGGGGAGCCAAGGTGTACGTGCAATGCGCCGATGAGGGCCCGGACGAAGGACTGAGCTGCCTCTTCCAGTGGTACCGGCGTGCTTTGTAGCGCGTGTGGACTGGGTGCGGCATTATCGGAGCCAAATTCGTCTGTCTTCATAATCTTGTGTGTGGTGGTGATATTCCACTTCCAGGGTGCTTGCCGCCTCAACTCTGCTGGGAGGGCATCGCCCGACTGTATCCTCTTGAATTGTAATAAGCCAGGGTCGACTTCACCACCCGGCTCAGCCGCCGCCTCAATACCCCATTCGCTTGCGATTGTGGTCAGCGCTCTCGGTCCGATGTATGCCTCTGTTGCGGCGAAGACGACGTCCATTGGCAGGCGTGGGTAGTTGCACAGAAGCCACTCGGAGGTGTAGTAGCCCAGCAGCTGGCGTCCGAGTATTGATAGCGAGGCATTATTGAAGGCGGGGTTTGGGTCGGCGGAGGGGTGGATGAGGGTTCGTGCGAGAACCGGGAGGGGGAAGCGAGGCGGGAGAGATAATCGACTCCGGAGGGCGTATAATTTTGTCGAACGTTCGGCGGCGCTGGGATGTGGAGATGGGAGGCTCTCGAGCGGGAGACGCCTTCTTGGTCTGGGTGTTGACGCTGACGGTGTGGCAGAGTTTGCGGCAATCTCGAGTTCCAATTCACCGTCGTCCGGAATTGCTACTGTGCTCTGGAACCGAGCCTGTGTCCGGTGGCTATGAGGTATAATGCTTCTCCGCACGTTCTTTGCCGCTGTGTATGGGCACGAGGGCCGGCGTGGCGAGGGTGCACCCAGCAATTGCGAGGCGCATCGTGATATGGGTATCCGCTTCATTAAGACAAAATGTAGGAGAAGACGGCAGCAGAATCAGGAGAGGCGGAGTCGGCAGCAGCAGCAATTGGCCGGTCGTGTGTTCACACAGGTCATGATCGCGACTGCCAAAGAATTTCCGCCAAGCTTCGGGGCCCGTGCTAGCCCTCCCATGCGACAGCGACCTCAGGGCAGCTCCGCAACAGCAACCCCACGAACCCGCACAACCACCTTTACAATGGGCGGAGGAGGAAAGATCCGGTATGAGCAGCCCGCCAATCGTTTGTCAGTGCAGAGTTGACGTCGACTAGATACCCCAAGCACGTCTGGTCGCCGGCCGGTGGTTGGTACGCCCAACCCGCCAACTGGAAAGCCAACACGGCCGTCGTAGGCCTCGCCCTCGGCAGCATCGTCGGCATGGCCTGGATGCTCAGCGCAAACCGCGAATACCGCGACAAGATGCCCGAGCGCCACCGATTCTTCCCCAGCCGATAGTACGACATACACGGATATCCTCAGATCAGACTTGGAAGCTAACAACAGACAGCTGGAGCAAACAGATTCGGGAACACGAGCGGAAACAAGACCAGAGCATCATCGAGAAGACTCTTGAGGGTTAGATTGGTTATGAGTGAGGAGGAGGAAACAGCGACCGCGACTATGGCTGTATATAACTAGCCAGGCGCTGCTTGAAATCTGAAAGCCTATCTTCGACACGAACCCCGTTCCACGTCTCCCCGTCTGCTGATTGTGAGAGAATGGGCATACCGACTTGCTCAATGGCGAAGCTCGCCGAAATGGACCCCCAAATCGCAGCCTCTTCGAGATACCCTGGTACCCGAACCAGGCCGACCGCCAGGCCGCCGAGAAAGCTGTTGCCTCCTCCTGTAGGATCTTCCACCTTCTCTGCTGACTGGTGGTACGCAGGCATCCATTTGCGCAACCCTTTGCGCATAACCAGGCAACCGTCTTTCCCACAACGCACGACGACCCCACCATTGCCATTACCCACACCACGGTCTAGCCACTGACCGCATAGCTCTTCGATTATTCGGAACTCCACATGATCCTTCCCGTCGGTGTTCTTGCCAAAGAAGCCGCCAAGTTCCCCGTGGTTTGGACTGACAATGTCGACGTGCTTTAGCGCCTTCAGGCAATTATCGTACTCTTCAGGCGTGCAAAGATCAGGAACAGGCTCCCAGATGAATACTGGCCGAGGAATGTGAGCCGAGTTAGGGTGTTGCTTGCGCAATGCAATGATGGTCTCAACCAGGTCGATACAACGTAACGGGGAACAGATCAGATGAAAGGACTTGGACCACAAGAGATCTGTATTCTTCAGATCCTCATGGTCAACGCGCAGCTTCGGCGTCAAGTATCGGAAAGCTTCACCAGAGTGATTAGACATGTGATCACTCACTGGTAACACAAATACTCACCTCGATGCTCGTTTTCACCAGTGTATCCATTCCAACCTCGTGTAGTGAGCCGATTGGGCGTCTCACGTATCAGTGCACCTGTCTTCCATTGTGCAATAAAGTCGCGCAGTTCAGGTGGGAAGTCAGACCCGCAGTCTACAATCCAGCCCACAGACTCTGATTGTGGCGGCGGGGAGAAGATGCGTGCGCCTAATGCGGAATATGATCCAGCTCCCCCAACGATGTCTTTGACTGGCGGCTTTGGTGGGGGAAACTCAATCTCATCTTGACAAGTTCAGTGGCTTGCATGTGTTGGAGAATATCTGACGCATACCGATGATGAACATTCCCAGCGTGCAGAAGTCGATCTTGCCATAACTGTCGTTCTCTGCGTCGGCCATGTTGGATGTTTCCATGTCGGCTTGTGTAGATCGCAAGGTTGATAGTCTGCCGCTGACGTGCATGTCTCGAACGGACCGGGCTTGGCTGCAGACGGCTAGCGCAACGTGGGCAGCCGTGGCCATGCGCCGGGGAGAGCTGACCCAGTGAGGTTCTGCCTGCAATTGTGCTTTTCCAATTAAATATCTCCGACAGTCCTCATATTCCTATCATCGAGAGTCTGGATTGCTGGATCACGACCTCTCTCTACTCCGAACCAGCCAAATCGCGTCGCACGAGCTGCAGCGTGCCGCGGCTGCCCCTTCCCCGAGCATTCAAGATACCTGTCCTACCTTGCAAACGCTGCGACGTGCCTTCTCCACATGGCGAACAACATGAATAACCTGACGACGCTGATCAAGCGGTAAGCACCTTCCGTCCGAGACTATCACCTACTAGCACCCGAACCTATCATCCTACCACACTCTGCGCATCCCGCATCCTCTATGAAACGACTCCACCATGGCTCCCAGGCCCGAACAAGCACACATCCTCGGTCGACAGGGGCAAATACAGCTCGCAGCAGACAATGTACTGACAAACATGGTCCGCAGGCTCGAAGCTGCCACCTCGCGTCTCGAAGACATCGCGAGCACCTCTCTACCCAGCAGCGGCGATGGAGCTGCCAGCCTCAATGGAGCGTCCACCGAGGCCACTCCAGGCGTGACTGCGGCCAATACAAGTGCCAGCACCCCCAAACTCGTCGCAGAAAGCGCACCACCGGCGATTGAGGCTTTCGATGAGCTGGTCAGCTCGGACCTGAAGAACTGGCTGGACCTGAGCAGCAAGCTGGGAAGCGTCATTGAGGGCCAGTCCAAAGCAGTCGAGGGCGCATTCGCCGCCCAGCGCCAGTTCCTCTTCATCGCGAACAAGGCCAAGAAACCCGACGACCGCACTCTCATGGAGCTGCTCAAGGACCTCCAGGCAAGCATGGAGAAGACGGACGAGTTCCGACAGAGCAACCGCGACCCTGCGCTCAAGGACTCCGTCTCCATGGTCGCCGATGGTGTCGGGTCGCTTGGTTGGGTCACAATTGGCCAGGGCGGAGGCATGAAGCCCCATGAGCACATCAACGAGCTGTTCGGCGGAGCTCAGATGTACGGCAACAAAGTGCTTAAGGAGTACCGGGACAAGTAAGACCTTCTGCTGTTCTACGTGAGCAAGTGCTAACAGATCCAGGCCCGACGGTGAAGCCCATGTCAAGTGGGTGCAGGCCTACTACAAGCTGTTCAAGGCTCTCGCCGAATATGCAAAGAAGCACCACGCTACAGGTGTGGCCTGGAACAGCAACGGCATCGACGCCAAAGATGCCGCAAAGGAAATCTCCTCGGCACCTCTCTCTGGCGCGTCCAACATTCCTCCACCACCACCCGCTCCTCCAGCAGGAGGCGTCCCAGCACCACCTGGTCCTCCACCACCACCAGGCCCACCGCCGCCACCAGGTGCCGCACCAGTGGCCAAGAAGGCCGCGCCCGACATGAACGCTGTCTTTGGCGATCTCAACAAGGGCTCAGATGTTACAAAGGGGCTTAAGAAGGTCGACCCAAGCCAGATGACGCATAAGAACCCATCATTGCGAGCTGGCGCATCGGTCCCTACACGAAGCGACAGCAACGACAGTCTCAGGAGTAAGAGTCCTGCGCCGCCCAAAGCTAAGAAGCCGGAAAGCATGCGCACGAAGAAGCCACCGAAGAAGGAGCTGGACGGAAACAAGTGGATAATAGTATGTATTCCTGTTGAAGAAGGAAGACTTGTTACTAACACCCGCAGGACAACTTCGACTCCCCAGGCGAGACGCTCGAAATCGACGCCGAAATCAACCACTCCATCCTCATCTCGCGCTGCAAAAACACCACCATCCGCATCAACGGCAAAGCCAACGCGCTCTCGCTCGACAACTCCTCCCGCACATCCCTCATCATCGACTCGCTAGTCAGCTCCGTAGACGTCATCAAGTGCCCCAACTTTGCGCTGCAGGTCCTCGGCACCCTCCCCACCATCCTCCTCGACCAGGTCGATGGCGCGACCGTATACCTATCCAAAGACTCGCTAGCAACCGAGGTCTTCACAAGCAAGTGCAGTAGTATCAACATCAACCTGCCGACCGAAGACGACTACGCTGAGAACCCGTTGCCGGAGCAGATCAGGAGCTATGTTAAGGATGGTAAGCTTGTTAGTGAGATTGTGGAACATGCTGGATAGACTGTGTCTTTCGGTGTGCTGCGTTTTCGCGAAGAGACATCTTGGATAGTTGCTGCGTTGAGTGAGGGTGACTGCTTCTTGATTTGCATAGCTAGCTTGGCTGGTGCGGACGAAGTGGGTAGCTTCGCGTCTGTAGGATAGATCTGTATAGACCGTTATTACTACACACGCAAGTGGAGTTCCTGATGATACGTGTAGTCCCAACCAAATATCTCCGCTGGCATCGTGTGATCAACATCTCAAATAACATTCTTGAATTTTGGCCGTAGTAACTGCTATCATGGCACTATGACCGGTGTTGGGTCCCAAACCGTTCAAAGGATGTCGGATATGATTATAGTACTTAAGGCTCTAGTCTAACTAATTATTATAGGCAGTTACGCGGAAGATAGATCTACTATGCACAATTCTCTACAAGAGCTAACCTAACTGTCTATAATGTGCCTAAGTATAAGATCGCAAGTGTTTGTCCACCGGTTGACGATCAAGGCCCGCTCAAGTACTGTTGAGACTGGCGCTGAAGGCGGGGCGGCCTCTTCGACGACTGGTGCTGGTGCGGACTCTGCAGCACGAATGTTGGCCGGCCATTTAGAGTAGTGTGTCCGGGTGTAACCTTCCACGGACAAGTCGTTCATGATCGCTTTCCCGAGGGCCTTTGCCTCCAGCTCAACGCGCACAGTCTGGTCCCGGCACCATAGATACATTGAATGCGGTCGAGGGCAGTACGGGTGGCTGGTGTGGATGTATCGCTGGTCGACGATCATGGAGCCTAGAGAGAAGTTAGTATTGTCTATTAAACTCACGGGAGGTTGAATTCTTGGGTGTCAGGCGAGGACTTACACCGGATCTGTTTGTGCCACTGATCATACGGCAAATTCTCGACGTCGACGTAGCGGAGGTGCACTGTGCCCCATTCTGAGAGAACGAGGTTTCCTGGTACTGCTGCGCCCTCGGCATCGACGGCGGCGATGTGCCAGGGGGAGGTTGACAATACGGGGGGTACCGATTTCCAGGACATAGGCTGCCCATTGGAACCGTCATAAGGCCACAACAAGAAAGGTCCATGGAAGGTGAATGCGGGTCGGTGCGCTCTTAAACACTGTTTGCTCCAGCGCAAAGAGCTGCAGCGGTCTCTGCCACCCGTTCATTCGCCGGCCAGAGATGAAAATGACGACGCGTGTAGCCCGTGGCAGAGAGATCGCCGAGAATTGCCCCGCCCATCTCCTTTGTGTCGAGCTTTTTGATGACAGTCTGCTTGTCGAACCACAAGAATCGGGCGCGGGGCCGAGGGCAGAAGCGGTTGTAGACGTTGGCCCATTTTGTGTCGATGATTCTTGTACCTAGAAAGAAGTTAGCATGGTTTCAAATCCTCTACGAATTGGAGTCTAGGATATTGAGAGAACGAACACCTGAATTTAGTATACCAAAGCTTATATGGGAGCCGTTCGACATCAACAGACCGCAGATGGACGGTACCCCATTCAGACAGGACGGTCTTGCGCAGAACGTTGGCGCCCTCCGCATCGACAGCGGCGATGTGCCATGGCGAGGTAGGCGTCACTGGTGGTGTCGAATCCCACGACATTGGCTTTCCGTCGCGGTCCACTATGCCCTCACATGCTGCATGTTCGATCGCGCACCCGATCGCGTTGAGGAGTGTCAATGCGGCGTCATTCACCGGGTCGTATGAACCGTCAAACACATCTTTGGGGTTGCGTCCAGAGTTGTCGACGTGGAAAGCGAGGTGTGGAAACCGTTGGTTCCCACACGGTTCTTAGCAATGGTGCTGAGCGACGCACCGTCAAGCTTGCGTTCCGCTTCAATGGTCCATTCATCATCCTCTTCGCGTTTGCGTGACAGCCAGTATAATGACTTTGCTGATATTACGCCGTTATAACCAAGTGCGTCGAACTCCTTGTCGCCGATGGCGGGAATGCCGTTCTCCGCTGGATAGGTCATCTCGGCGCTCCACGAGTCGGAGAGAAGGAAGTTCTGTACTGGCGGGGCCAGCACCAGATCTGGATAGCTTGAGATCGTGGATGGTCGGCATAGAATGGATGGGCAAAGCGAGACGAGACTGGAAGCAAATATGGGGTCGTGTTGGATGGTGGAAGCGGAGACGTCTTTTGGTTGCGATGGGAGTGGATGTGAAGATAAGAGGTATCGGAAGCTTCTGATGTACTTGAGTGCTTACTGCGGCCTTGGTGGGTGACCATTGTTTACCGACGCGTCGATGATGTCAGGTTCAATACGGATGTTGCGTCTGTGTCTTGGGAAGGAGCTACGGTCAGACCCCATCCTCAATCCCACTTTCCCAATGCGCAACCAGTTGACGACACTTCTACACACATCTATGATCAAAATCGAGGTCAAAGCTACCGCCTTATCGGAGCTGTCGTATGTCCTCATTCCTCCAAACGTCACGGCTCTTGTGCCCGCATACCTGCTCTTTCCTCCACAATTGGCGCCTGGTATTGGCTCGGGTTGGCCTTTCTTTCCTAGATCGTAGAAATCAGCACATCTGGAGGGGAGGGACTGACGACGATGATGACGACAAAAGTGGCAGTGAGCGCACTGTCATTGCTAGGGATTCGCTTCACTGATCACACCAAGCGCGCATCGCGCAGCTATTCGGTCTTCATACTGTACTTCATTGGTGTATTTTATGTCATTGACTACGCTCAGTTCCGTTCATTCTCGATCATCCTGCCAGTAATCTTCTCTTCTGATGCCCGTATTCAAGCCTCATCAGAGCGATATTACAGTCCATAGTCAAGCGCCGGAAGAGTCAGAGGCTCAGTCCCAGTGTATTCCTCAAACACTGCGGATTCGACACGGGTCTCCTCATCCACTAGGTCCTTCAACGGATCTGCGTAGCCAGCTTCGACCTTGTAGCTGTGGGTTTGTTAGCTGGGTAACTACACTGTTCCTGTGTGACTAGTACCTGAACATTCGGGACAACTCGTCGTTGTGATAGACTCTGGCGCCTTCGGCTTCGTTCACGGCGTTGACGAATTCGTTCTTCTTCGCAAGACCATCGACTTCGTGACGGAGAGTGATCTATCCGACTTAGTTACGTGTGGTTTGTGCTTCTGGAAGACTTACCCTGTAGGCCATGCAAAATATATTGCGACCTTGCGCGTCTACTGCGACGGTAGGAGCGGCGCGCTTTCGTGGTGCAGGCGTGCGGTCGGCCATTTCAGTCGTATCTGAATTAGGGAGTGTTAATTTCGGATATTGACGTGTTACTATGCTGCTATGAATTCGGTGTCCATGCGCTTGATGAAGTGAGAGAGAATGACTCTAGACTGCAACAGGTGTAGCGCCATGGTAGACTGGGACTAGGATGTGTCTGAGTTTCTAGTGAAAGCTACTAAGACCTATGTCATGAATGAAAAAGCGTGTATAAACTACGTGATCATCATGAGCAGGTCGCTTCCACTGGCCCTGTGAACCTCGTATCTCGGGCGATGGGCGCAGGCGCAGAGATGGTTGTCTGAACACCACGCTTGTCACGTTTACATCGGAATTTACGGAGTATCTTCAGGCCCTTAGTATTAACACTGTATGTGTTGCGATATATGCAAGCGTTCTCAACTTCAACTTAAATGACGCCGACGTAAAGACACTGTATCTCTAGGGGACCTCTCCATAAGTGAGAGCTCTTCTCTTGATCTGGCTCTTTCCTCTTGCGAGATGAACCATCATACTAGACCATCACCCCTGCCAACGATTGATCTCTCTTGCATCCAGATGAATAGCCAAGCTGGGGTTGAGGAAAGAGTGTTATTTAGGTTTCCGGGGATGTACAGTTGTGTGATGAAGTCAGAAACTGGCGAATTGCTGAGTCCCTAACCCATAGTCACGGGTATGTGAATGCCCTGCTCTTGTGAAGTTTGAATTGTGATCATTGCTCTAAATGCTCGCTGGATGCCGCGTCGCTAATAAAGATGCTAGGAAACGGGAAGCAAACGAAAAGAAAGAAAGAACCAAGATAATCATCCAAATAGGGTCGCAAGAAGGGGTATCAAAGGTCCGACCCAAATCCAGTACGGACAAGATGTGAAGAAAGTAAGAAAGGCCTCCCTGCCTGTGGCCACCATACACATATACTCGGCGTATTCTCGTAGATGTCGTGTCTGAGGCGTTGTAGGGCTCCGTCTCATCCCGAGCTGTCAAGTTTCACACTCAACATTGGCTTCGGCATGACAATTGCCCGACAACCATCAAAAGTCGATGTCTAACATGTTTCGCCAAGTATCACCTCAGCGTGAGCCCATGTTTGACACGCTGTCCGAAGTTTCCGATTACCAACCACCCGCTGGTTCTAACCTGCGGGTCTGCGTCTGGAAATAGCCATCGAAGACGCTTAGCTCCGGCTTGCGTGGCGCGTGGTGCTCCGAGATGTCGACCAGCGTTGCGGTTGTTGCACCGTTGACGCCGAGCGATGCTGCTGCCTGTCCACTGTAACCGCCGCCGTCTAAGCTACGTCGTCTTCCTCCCGTAGCTTTGCCGCTGTTTAGGCTGGCCAGCACAAAGCGCATCTTGATCCTCTCTTTCGGTCCCGGTAGGAGCATCTTCTCAATAATGGTTAACCAGTCGGCTTCCGCTTTTAGCTGCCTCAGCTTCCTTCCAGACCCGATGAGTCCATTTCGGAGGTTCGAGGTCGTGGCAGCGTGGAGGCGATTTCGCCAACTTGCCACCCGGTCCAGATGTGCATGGTATGAGGCGTCCTGGGTGTTCGCAGCCCGGTATTGTGCAAACACCGATAGCGACTGGCCTTGTGCGACTGTCATCATCGACAAGAACACACAACCCAGCGAGAAAACGTCTGCCATCCTCTTACCGCGTGATACAATAGCCTCAGGTGCAGCGTAGACGTAGGATTGATCTTGGAAGTATGTGTGTAGTTGGTCCAGGCGTTGGGAGTTCGCCATCGTCGGACTGAACGTGTCGATGCTCTGCCCGATGTCGAATGGAGCAAGTAAAATGCGAGCCCCATCAATCAAGATCTTGCGAGGTCGGATGCTTCGATGGCAGATAGACTGCGAATGGAGATACTCAAGAGCGGACGACAAGTCGCCCATCCAATCCACTAGCAACTTCGAGCGGTTTGGGTCGCTTCCAGGTAGCGCGAGAAAGTCGTCCAGAGTGTATTGTGCTTTCTCTGTAAGAATACCAACATGACTCGGCTGGGCATACGAGCAAAGTAACTTCGCAATGTTCTTGTGCTCATACTGCTTGAACTTGTTGATCTGGTCCAACAGCGCAGCTTTTTGAGCGGAGCGAGCAGTGACAAAGCGCTTTCGCACGAACACACGATCCTCGCTGCTACCTTGCATCTTAACCCAGTCGACACTCTTCTCGGAATTGCGCGACGATCGAATGAGACTGACGTGCTGTAGTGGCACGGTCTCACGTGCGGTGTAGTCGACATGTGCTCCCGTCAATGGTAGTTCCTTGGATGTGGCACGCCATTGTTCGTCGACAACCTTTCGCGCATTTCCCACGATGCCTTGAAGACGGTCCTCCGGGAATGGCAAGCTTTCGTCTCGAAGGTCGAAGAAAGATGCCTGACGCCACGAGGAAACATCGTCGCAGACGAACAAGAGGATTGCCAGCCTAGGGTTCGACAACGTCCACTGCCATATCTTCTTGACTAGACCAGCATCCCATCCCTGCTTTCGCACGAGCTCGTAGAACCACCCGGAAAGAGACTGGCCCTGTGAAGACAAGATTGATGTGTTGATGTATCCATTTACCAACGGAACAAGGGGAGCAGCAGGTTGTCGGTATGGGTTCATGGGTGAACCCGGGTAATCGCCATTTCTGAACGACTCACCGGATGCTGAAGGAGGCGGTGACATGGGCGCAAATCCTGCTACCGGATTAATGACCCTTATTGGCTGGGGGGCGATGGGCTGGGGCGTTGTCGATCGGCTGGTGTATTGCGGGGTATGTTTTGGGCTGCCTTTGGGCGACGATGAGTCGGACGACTTGTTGGAATATGTCGAAGCTGGGCTGACCATTACGTTCGACCACGGGTTGTTGTTCGTTGTTGTGGGCGTTGTACTTCGGCTGGTGGCGGACGAGGCGGACGAGACAGTTGGAGATGCGGTCTCGCGGTTGTTGTACCACGATTGATCATCGTCTCGGAGGTTGACCATGGATATGGTGTGCTGGAGACTGTATTGGGGTTTGGGATATTGCATCGCAGGCGTCCGCCACGGCGAGTTCGAGGCGTGCTGCATTGCGTACAGGTGGTCGGCGCGTGACCAACGAAGAGCGTCCTCGAGGAATGTTAGATGTTTGCAGCGACTGTGGACTCGCCTCGTGTGGACTTGTGACGATGTGCAAAAAACAAACAAAGAGAATGAGCGTAACAGAGCGAGAAACGTGAGAGCCTTGAAGGACGACTTGGGTCCAGGTGCCCTGGTCTGCAGATGAAGTACAGCGGGACCCTTCGGGCAGAGTCGACCGCTTACACTGTGACAAGCCCAAATAAGGCTGCCCCAAGTAGAGGTCTAGAGGCTTTTGATGTGCTGGCAGTTAGTGCCCGCATTTTGCAACACATTAGTGGAGGATGACAATATATGGGCATAGGCAGTGGGTGTATGTGTTGGGCGAATGCACGCTGGGCACAAGCGCACCCATGTGGATTAGTTGTATGCAGGCGAACGTGGCCACCTCAGAGTCGCCTTCATCGTCAAAGGCGTATCGTGTGCATATGTTCGCAGCCCATACTTTCCCGTATGGTGCCAGATCATCGAGCAGTCTGATATGGAGCGCGCGATCCGTCCCGTACCCAGTAAGTGTGGTCGGCAGTGTGCCTGACTATGCGTGCGTTGCGCGACAAGGCCGCTAAGTTGCTGCAGGACTAAGACCACACGACGAGCAACGGACGCAGGACGCAGGACCTCTGTGTTCTGGCACACAGTGAATAACTATTAGCATAAAGGGAGATACCGCGGATATGCGCGTTCGGGTATTGGCCGGGTGGAGGTTGGGACACGAGGTTTCACAGCTCACCGTCTCTTCTCGGCATACGCACCGGGAACAACTAATGTCCGTGTGGCTTCGGGAGTGACGTGCTTCGACAGCAGCGAGGCGGCTGGGTCCGTTGGGCGGTATTGAAGATGCGGTCGATGTTGTACAGTTGTCCAGGTGTTGCGCCCCGGCGACCCGCCTGTATCAGCGCGAGTGTCGCAGGTCCAAGATGACAGCGGCCGCTACCCGTGTCAACATCGCCCGTTTCTGAGGAAGCACGCGCCGGAAGCCACACCGCAGGAGATTTTGCGATGCACCGATGGCGCAGCGGAGGCTGGTGCGATGGGAAACTCAGGACATCGGCTTCTGCACGGCTGAAGGGTGAAACCGAGAAGCCGGGAGAGGCGGCACACGACGATGCTATTGGCTCGGAGGACGACGTCACGTGCTCGGCTAGCGCACACCTGAAGCGCCCCTAGTTTTAGCATCGTTCCTCGACTCCAGACCTCAACACCAATTGTCTCAAGGGGCCCAGCATCGTCATGCCCAGTGCGCCCCCACTCCCGAACGGTTCGATCTCCAGGCCACAGCTTGGTTGGCTCCCACCAAATGCGGCTCTACTATGCTAAATTAAGCTTCTTCTTAGTCGCCTCGGGATCAACGCATAGATATGTCTTGTGCCACCCGTCACAGCCTCAAGCAGACTCCGTCTCAACTCTGTTATGGAGCCTCAAGCCAGTCTTGGTGCTGCTTTTCGAGTCTGGTGCCCGACCTGAGTCACGCCATTTGCGAGCCGTTCTCGTCCGATCCACCCATTGCCGTGATTCGCACACCGCGTTTCTTCATGCTCGCGTGTTCGACTTTTCTAATTCGCTTTTGCTAATGACACTTCTAATGCCCGTTTCTTTTCAGCAGTGATTAGCTTTTGCTTCGTCGTTCTTTCTTCGCTCGCCACTTTCTTTCTCGTAAGCTGCTGGGCAGCCCGGCCACCTCCGCACTACCGACTTTAATTTTCCGGCGTCGACTAATACTACCTCGACCATGTTCTTCAAGAGCGCTTTTGTAGGCACTCTGCTTGCTGCTGGACACGCAACTGCCTTCAAAGGCCCCCAAGTGAACGCGCTTCTCGAACCGGGCCAGGACGTGGAGGAGGTACTACGGAGGGACGCAGAGTTCATGGCGACCCTTACTCAAAGACAAGATGCCAACTCTGCCGATTCAGCACCGCTAGCATCGCTAACACCCGCGACTGGTGATGCGTCGGGTGTCGATCAAGCAAAGTGGGAGCAACAGACAAAGGAAGCATGTATGAGCACGCTCAGCAACCTCAACGGCCAAGCGTCGAACCCGAGTGGGATCGCCGTGTGCTACAACCTACCTTTCCTTGACAACAAGACGGGTGTCTTCCAGGCGGAGCTCCGAATGTATAATGTGTCAGCTCCCATCAACCCATGGGTTGGCGTTACCGCGGCCGATGTCAGCATGACACTTTCGTACCTCGGTGCGACCGTGCAGAACATGCGAGGCAACTTCACCAAGCGGGATCTTAGCTGGCCAGTCAGTGAGGGTATGCTGGTTGAGAGGCAAGACATCAACACCATGACGGAACTCAAGGTCCTCATGTATGTCGGAAGGATCAATGAGAACCTGATGGGCTCAGCCATGACCCAGTACGTATCCCTCTTCGTCATTCATACTTCTGTCGCTAACACATTTGCAGAGAATCCCTCCAACCCCTTCTCATCCCGCAAATCGACCTCGCTGCGCGAAACCCTGCAACCGGCCAGGACGTCGAAACCACTCTCTCTTCCCAGGAGGCATCATTCGTCAACGGTATCTTCTCCAAGGCAGGCAACGCTCCCACCAACGCAGACCCCCAAGCCGCAGCATCCGCATCTGCAGCCGTCTCCTCTGCCGCACCGTTCATCATCCCCGGAACTGCCTTGGCTTTCTTCCCAATCGGTCTGGTCGTCACATCCGTATGGGCGCTCTTCTTCTTCCTTGCCGTTGGATTCGGAACATACGGTCGCATCCAATACCGTGACCAATACAGGAGGCGTGTACGCGCCGAGTTGGCACGTGGCGTCCGCACCATCTAATACCCGACTTGGTGTCTCTGTTCATTGCTTCGCTATTTCTAAGAGCTAGTATCGGAAGTTTAGGCTACTATGAAGATTACGTTCGCTGCTATACCCCTTCCCTTTTACACCTTGTACATAATTCTGGTGGCGATGGAGCTAGCTCCTCCCACCATCTTCCCAGCAGCATCCCGGCGATGAGTCCCTACATGTTCTCAGCAACGCGATAGAAAAGCACATCAAGCAAGTAAAACAATGGAAAATTCAGTATTGTCGAACATCTCTTGGCTTCCGCGTTACCCGTATCCTGTCATGTCTTTCACTCCAATTATCATCGAGTCCACGGTCGTAACCGTTAGTTAGGTCGTACACGGTACGCACGCGCTTCCGTCTAGATCATCAGAGACTGCCTCTAGTCGACGCTGGCTTGGTCGCCTCCTCCTTTTGTCTCGCGGCCTTGTAACCTAGCCTAGTCGAGGTGTATTCCGGTTTTGGTAGGTCCCAATCTGCTTTGAGAGGTAAGTGGCTCGGTTCAGCTATGGCTTTTGACGACACTGCAAGCGCCCTACGATACGAGACTCGGCGGAGGCGAGCATGCTCTCGCTGTAAGATTATGGTGAGACTAGATTCAAACTAATTCGCTGCAGTGATTTTGGCTGTATCTTAGCCTTGGCCAACACGCCGACATTCATTCACGAAATTTAATTTCAATTGCTACGCCACGTTGGCCTACATGCGCCTGACTATCGTATGCATCTCTGCCTCTCACTCAGACCTTAACTCCATCTTCAAGAAAGTCTAGGAGTTGAAGCGGAAGTCGTCAAGCTCGCAACACTACCGTTTGCATCGTTGCCGCGCGCCGCCACTCGGGCCCAGTGCAAAGCGCCTTCACCGGACCAACGAGTAACCACTCGCCTCTTCAATTGCTGACACCCACCGATCAAGTCGAACAGTCGCCATTGGCACATACTTTACACTCTTTAGCCCGTTGCGCGACAGTTTTCTTCTTCTCACGCCTCACGCTCATTCAACAACGTTGCTATCGCTTCCCCACTGTCAACATTAACAACCGAGCTCTCAACATCCGCTCATTTGGACCTCTCGGAAGCACTCTGTATACCACCAGATATCGGAGCAACATGAAGACCTTCGCCATCATCCTCGCGCTCGCCGCCACCATAGTCTCCACCGCGTCCACCGCAGATGACGGCACCACACTTGTCACACGCGACGCCAACTGCGACTTTTGCTTGGAGCGCTACGAATTCTGCGTCAAGGTAAGCGAGAGGTCAAGCAGGAACTATCCATGCGATCCACACTGACGAGGCTGCAGAACGGCCACACTGAGGGACAGACCGGTTGCAAACAGACCTGCGTTGAGCATGTGTGCCACGTGTACCGCTACCAGGGCCATGAGGTAAGTCTTCGTTTCTTGCCGTAGTTGAGGTGGAGTGAAAGATGCTGACTTGATGCGAATAGTGCAAGGACTGCGGTGGTGAATTCGACAAGTGCCGTGAGAAATCGCGATACGTCTAGGTGACGGACTGTTTTACGAGACCGCGGGATTTCCGATCTGTGCCAACATCATTTGCGATACGTAGAAGGAAGTGTAGTATACACAGGAAGAATCTTGGGAGTCGCCTCAGGGTTGTGCATGGCGGTCATGGCTATTGAGTGTACATTGGTTACGAATGAACCACTTTCACTGCTAATGCGACTTTTCTATATCAACTACGTGTCTTTCTAATCGCGAAGATTTAGATAACAACTCAAAGCTTACCCTTCGGCACAGCCCACTCTCCCTTCTCCACCCTCTCACATATTTCCTTGATGGTCTTGGCAGCCCACTCAAAGTCCGCCATTTCCAAGTATACCTGCCCACTCAACCTCGTCCACCAAACGCCCGCGTACCATTTCATCATGATGAAGGTGCCATACTCTTCACAGCTAAGCCTCTCCATGAAGTCCCTGATCATGTTGCCGACCTCTCCCTTATCGATGCCGCTCTTAGTCGCGATATCTTGGACCAGAGACGGCGATATCGGTAGGCGAACGTTAGACAAACAACACTGCCCCAGCGTACCAGTGCTGTTTTCCATGACTTCAGTGCCAAGAACACCGGCAACGTGTTTACCGGCTTCACGGGCGAGCGTTTGGCAATAGTCCATGATGACGGTCTCGCCTCCGAGAGATTCGCGCCACTTTAAGGCCGCGGGTACGCACAAGTAGGGGCTGTTGTCGATGGTACCCACAAACTCGAAGTTGCTAACGAATGGCGATTTATCCGGGCTGACGAACGCCGATTTTGGCATGGGTGAATCGACCTTTTCGCCCTTGGGTGTGAAGCCGTGGGATGTGGGAAGCGTACTGCGTATGATGTCTTGGTTTCGTTGGGCGACGTGGAAGATTGCGCAACCGCGGGGGACGTGAAGCCATCTGTGCTGGATTAGTATAACTTGGTGTAGAATTACAAGAAACAGGACTAACTTATGACAGTTGCTCACGAAGAAATCTGGGTCCAATGCATCCAGATCGATGTTCAAGTGGCCAACCCCATGGGCCCCATCGATGCAGCTCATGACGCCAAGCTCTTTGCACTTCTGTGTCAAGCGCTCAAATGGCATCCTGACACCGGGCGCACTGACTACAGTATCGAAGACTGCGATTCGCACTTTCCCACCTTTGCTCTCTACCTCTTTCACCTTCCTCTCAAACTCGGTTAGTAGCCAGTCGTCTTCTACGGGAAAGGTGTATGCGATCTTGACACTCTCCGCGGGTGTAGTCTCAGTGACGTATGATACTGTCTTCTCGCAAGCTCCATAGATGGTACTGAAGATGAGAATATGCTCGCCGGGTTGGAAGACAATGTTGCGAAGAACGGTGTTTACGCCGGTACTGGCGTTGGGTACGAATACCAGGGTTGATGAAGGTGTGTTGAGCAGCTATAGCATTATTAATGAGAGTAATTGGAGGCTTATTAGGTAGCTGTGTGTGTCACAGATCTCCTGTATTGGTATCAAGATGAGTAACGTACCTTTGCCATAGCTTCCCGAGCTTCATCGAGATGGACAGGGTATCTGTATCTGATGAAGGGGTCTGGACGACCTTCGCATTCATCCTGGAAATCACGCATAGTGTCGCGGACCGCGCGAGGGATGGTACCGAAAGAGCCTGATTACAATTAGCCTACGTATGGAGAGCATGTCTCGCCAAATATGTGTAAACAAATAAAGTCAATGGGATCATAGACCAATGCTGTTCACGGGTGGAAGGTAGAATGAGCGTATGGACATACCATGGTTCAAGTTCAAAAATCCTTTCTTGAAGCAAAACTCCTTCTCCCTCAGCTCTTTTCCGAACTTGACTCCATCCTTCGTCTTGACCTCCAGGGCGGCGTTGTTTGAGCTTGACGTCATAACTCAAATCGTTCGGACAATGTTGTTTGTATCATCGAAAGTCCAGCGAGACACGTCTAGTTATATAGACATACAAGATGTGACTCAATGTTGTTGTGACTGTTTCCCTGATATCGCTTGGCGAATGAATCTGGAACCGCAGGGCGTATGTAACAAAGCGTCAGCGCGGAGCCATTGACCAATCAGAGTCGCTAGCGGATAGAAGCGGCGGGGATGTGGGGTAGACACATACGAGGAAGAACATCATGACTGTTGAGTCCTGTGCAGTTCATGCCCGCTGCATAACTCTCGCCAACAGCGGCTGCAATGTTTTGTATTTCCATCCGCCGGGACTTGGGGAGGCATTGAATGGCTTGCCGCGAGTCATACTGCTAGGGCCAAGGGCGAACAGCTCCGTGCCACGACACCTGATGTTCGAAAGGCAGCATTAGCATGCTGCGTGATGTGCAGCCTACACTTCGAGGTACAATATACATGCGTGCAAGTAACCTCTTCGGAGAAAGAGCGCTGCAGTTCGGCCATATTTCCGTCCTATGACCGCTCGCGACGACTCAACACGCGGGCCGCGCTCGTTGGCTGCGTAGCCATTCCGCGCCACCTAGATATTCCGCGGCAACATTTATGGATTCCTCATGTCCCAAGTACCAGGCCCTGTTAAGGCGTTCACTGCTAGTCGAACGATCAATATTCTCCAAAGTCCGCGATAATGAGACAACTGACATCATTCCCAACCATCGACGTCCTAGTAATAGGCGGAGGAAATGCGGGCTTCTCCGCCGCAACAGCCGCCGCAGAAGCAGGAGCACGCCGCGTTGTCCTCATCGAAAAAGCACCAGAAGATTGGGCCGGAGGTAACAGCTACTTCACAGCAGGCGCCTTCCGCACCGTACACAACGGTACCAGCGACCTGTTACCCATCGTCAACAACGTCGATACCGAGACAGCAAAACTCATAGACATGGAACCATACACTGAAGACGATTTCCAGAAAGACATGGATCGAGTATGCCTAGGCCGTTCAGATCCAGCCCTAAGCAAAGCGCTCATCTCAGAATCCAACGAAGCCGTAAAATGGCTCGCAAACAACGGTATCCGATACCAACTCTCCTTCAACCGCCAAGCCTACAAAGTAAACGGCCGCTACAAGTTCTGGGGTGGCATGGCCCTCAAGACGCAAGACGGGGGGAAAGGTCTCATTCAAGACCACCAAGCCTGCGCCCGCAGACACGGAATCGAAGTATACTACTCCACACCTGCCAAACGCATCGTAACCTCTCCCTCCGGCACCGTCACAGGCGTTATTGTAGACCACAAAGGCATCTCCACGCACATACCCACCAAATCCGTCATCCTCGCTGCCGGAGGCTTCGAAGCAAACCCACGCATGCGCGCCCAATACCTGGGTCCAAACTGGGATCTCGCCCGCGTCCGCGGCACGCCCTTCAACACCGGCGAAGTCCTCGAGTACGCTATCCGCGACGTGGATGCGAAGCAAGCGGGGAACTGGTCTGGGTGTCATTCTACATGCTGGGATGCTAATGCGCCTGCTAACAGCGGCGACCGGCTTATCTCGAACGAATTCACCAAGTCGGGGTATCCACTCGGCTTGATGATTAACACGGAGGGAAAAAGGTTTGTAGACGAGGGCATCGATATGCGAAATTACACGTATGCGAAGTTTGGGCGGGCGATACATGGGCAGCCTGATGGGGTGGCGTGGCAGGTTTGGGATCAGAGAGTGTTGGGGTGGTTGAGGGACGAGGAGTACAGGGATGAGAGGGTGGAGAAGGTTTGGGGGAAGACGGTTGAGGAGTTGGCGGGGAAGTTGGCGGGGGAAAGTGGGTTGAATGCGCCGGAGAGGTTTGTGGAGACTGTCAAGGAGTATAATGAGGCGGTTTATGCGGCGATGGCTGAGAATCCGAAGAGGAAGTGGGACCCGGCGGTAAAGGATGGGCTTACTACGCAGTCACCCAAGAGAAAGCTGGAACTGGCGAAGTCGAATTGGGCGCTGCCGCTTGATAAGGGTCCGTTTATGGCTGTCAAGGTGTGCTGCGGCGTTACTTTCACATTCGGGGGTCTGGCTGTCAATCCGGAAACTACGGCTGTTATATCAAACTCCGGAAGAGAGGTTACGGGGCTGTTTTGTGTTGGCGAGATGCTGGGTGGTTTGTTCTATGGCAATTATCCTGGAGGTAGCGGCTTGACTTCTGGGGCGGTCTTTGGAAGGAGAGCAGGAACGGCAGCGGCGAGATTAGCTGCTATTGGGGATACTACGATGTCTTCAAAGCGGCCGGCGATTCTATCACTGTTATAACAGGCAATGAGAAGTATGATTGTAGTTGGTATGCTCGGATAATGAATGTCAATACAACATTTCCAATGGCTACATAGTTGTCGTACTGCTGGGCTACTCCGTGTAAGCAGCAAGTGCTAAAAGAAAAGCCCGTTGTCGCGATCTTGTAGCGTACGAACCCGTGAAAAACATGTCGAACCCCTTCAGGACATATCTCGATGTTTGGCGTAAGTCGGTAGAAGCCATCTTGTCGGTATTAGGGATCCGACGCCTCTTGCTCTTGTGTGAATGAGAGTTCTCCCGACGCCTCGATCACTATCTTCTTGGAACGTGCAGCATTCCACCACGATGGATACGCATCTCGAAGTTGTTCGAAGAAGATAAAACCGTAATACCGGAAATCTCTACTCAACCGGGGATATGCACAACCGTCAGCAGGCCACTCCGTTCCTATGTCGATCACGCACACATCCTGTGCTGCGTCCAACACGTGCTCGTCTGACACGTACTTGACCACGTGGTAGTCTGTATTGTGGGTTCCTTCGATCGCGAGATCAGGATCGTTGTCCACATGAGGCTGGTGGTGGTGTTGGGGACCGACATAGACGATGTGACAAGGATCTAGCAACCATAGCTCTTTCAGATTGAAGTCCGCTAGCATCTGTAGCAGATCACACCAGTTCCCATGACTGCTCGCGAGAAGAATATGTCCCAATGCAAGGCGCTCCAGGTTCGGAAAGAAGTTGAGGAGGTTTAGGATATCGAATTCACTGAACGAGTGCTGGTAGTCTGACATCAATCGAAACTCTTTCAGGTTTTCGAGTTCATACCATAGGTCTGAGGACCATGAGCTTAACTCAAAGGGTGCACCAAACGGTCCGCCGTCACCGATCGATGTCTCAGGAGTCTTCGAGAGTGTTATCTCCAAGTATTCTAGATTTACCAGCTCTTCAAGGCCACCTAAATTCAGCAATGGCGCAGCCATGGGACGGGTGATATCGATAGCGACGCGCGTCAGCGTTTTCGGGAACCACTGGAATGGATCGCTGTCCCGAAAAAAGTTGCTGTGAAGAGGATCACCCCTTCCTGAGATCGCGCAATACGATGCCTTGTTGCCGAATAATGGACTCTCGACACTTTTCAACCAGAGTTGGGACTCCTGAAAAGCCTCCATTATCTTGGGGAAGATCCATCCGCTCTCCAATTGAACGCCCCACCAAGAGTATTCGCCTTCTTTCAGTGCTGGATATCCGTACCTGGCGCGTTCTAGTCCTCCTTGGAAGCAAGTCTCAAATGAGACGCGGTCCTGTTCCGATACTTTCCACTTAGGCCAGGTTCCATCGAGGCAATTTGGGTGTATGGGGTAGTATCGAAAGTGCTCCATCGAACTAATCTTGCGCAACAGATGTACTAGGTACTGCGTCACTGGATTCTGCTTGTCGAGCTCGTCACGCCCAGGACCCGAGCGGTCGTACTCTCCGAGGGTAACGAGGCCCATGTCCATGCCACAGATTGTGATTGTCTGATTAAACCGACGAGTGTATTTTGGAATTTCAGTGATCTCCTCAAGTACTGGGAGTCGATGGCTGTACCACACGAGAGGTGTCCGGGAGACTATATCGACAAAATCGCGTATCAAAACATCCGACTCGAACCAGCGACGCGCGACGAGCCGACTATTGAGTACTGTGCGGACGGAGGGCTTGCAAAGTCCGTCAAATCGCTCGCTAATGGGCGCCGGTTCTGTATGGGTGATATGGACGAAAACATTGTCGAGTATTTCTTGTGGTAGTTTCTCCATGGTCGGCCGTAGTAGAAACCTGTTCTATGAATTGAGAGGACGGGGAGAGGAAGCGCGCATAGCTTTATAGCAAAGGCTTACGCGTTCGTCAACAGTTTCCCGTGACCATACAAACGGTGCATACATTACGGAGAGGTAACACGCCCTACCAATGTGAATCTGCAAACGCCCAATGCTGTGAGATCTGACCAAACGATCACCTGGGGCGATATGAATGACACATGCACGTCAACCTAGAGAAAAAGTGGACACCATAGGGTCTACATCGATGTTAACACACCCACTTTGCATGTACTCATCTTAATGTAGTCTGCAGACCCGTCCAGTTTTTCCCTTGTATGAGGTGCATGTATTCGAGAGCGATCAAACGCTTCTGCTCCACGTGCTCAGGTGTTGTTGCGACAGAACACGTGGAACCCGGGTATCGATAAAACCAAAACGCCTTGTCCAAGCCCAGATTTCAATTATCTACCTTTTCCTCGTTCTCTTCGGCGCTGGCTTCGGCTTCGCGCGATTTGTTCGGCGAGTAGTTGGCGCACTGTCTTCTTCAGACTCGGCACTAGATTCTTCATCGTCATCATCTTCGTCCTCTTCTTCTGCGGATTCAGATACGGTGCTCTGGGCCTTACTGTTCTTTGCAGCGTTGGCTCCAGCCTTGGTACCCTTGCCGCCCTTTGCAGCTTTGCCTGTTCTTGTGTTCTTTGCGTTCTTGGGTACGGGCGTGGCTTCGGTTACACTCTCAGCCTTTTGCGAGTGCACGCCATCGGGGAGGTCTTTCAGTAGGCCGATGCCTGGCGCATAGAGGTCTTTGTATTTTTGGATGGGCGTCATGGGTGGTGACGAGCCGGCCGCAGAAGATTCACGATGGAAGCGCTGGAGCCACATGAGCTTGCCATATTCGTCTTCTGGCAGCTCGAACTCGGGCATGCTGTTGGCGTCGTCGGGGTCTAGCGGGTCGGGGTCCTCAGAGAAAGCGAACTCGTTCTCGCGCGTATCGAGGGCGTCTAGGTCGTATAGCTGCGACAGCTTCTTCCAGACCCCGGGAATGCGCGTGTGAGGAGCGTCGTCACTCGCGAAGCCGTGCGAGCGCATGTCGGTATGGATGGAGATCATGCGAAAGTGCTTGTGCATGCCTGATGATGTCAATGACGTGTTTAGCAAGAGGTATCACCATCTCATACCTGTCGGCTTCCACTTCATCATGCTTTTCAAAAGCTGTGTCTCCTGCTCGTCGGCCCACGGATCGCTGAGCAGCTCATCTTGCGACTGCACAACGCCAGAGTCTTGCGGTGTTTGGGGCTGAGTGTCGCGCAGGGGCGTGGAAGCTGCACTCGCCTTTGCCTTCTTTCGCGGCGGCATGGTGGGGATGATTGGTCGTGGGAGTGAAGGGAAGTGAGTGAAGGAAACGCGCAGTCGCGAGCTGCAGGTACAGTGACGGAAGGCGCAAGGGTCCGCGTAGGGCTGAGTCGCCAAAACCACGGCGCGTCATACCCCTCCCTCACCCTCGACTACTCCACATTCGCCGCCATGGATGCGCGTGATTCGATTCACGATGTCTTCAGTACCGAGCACCTGTGGAGGCAGCCTTCCTTTTTTGACGATGATTCCCAAGAGTCGTCGCTCTTCGCTCCCCTCGAGCTAGACAGTGGGTCGTCGCGTCTTTTCATCCGAGCATGTGAACGCGTTGCTGACCAGCCACAGTCTCCTCAATCAGATTTGACCATCCTTACGCGCCCAAACATGACCTCGAACGCGAACTGCGACTGCCTGATCTGGACACGTTCGAATTTGGGCCCCTGCCTGAGCTCGACAGTTTCGACGACGATAGCATTCCCATCGAAACACCGCCCTTAGAGCCCGAAGAAGACGTCTGGAAGGTAGCCCTTGACCTGGGACCTGCGAATAAGGATGTCCTGTTCTATACCTGGGAGTCGTTCGAAAAGGGAAGGCACGTCGAAAGCCAGACACCATACATAACCGAGCATGGCCCCGAGACCTTCGATGCGACGCTGATGCGAGACGAGGGCAAGAATGCTGGTCGGATACTGAAAGGAGATGTACTCTTGCAATCGCTCTGGAACCTTGGTCTAGGCCGATCCTCTATACTCTTCCAGTTCAACCCAAAGCTGAAGACGTTCCAGCCCGCCATACCGGATGGACGAGCTTCGGGACTGAGCCTACAAGCAGCGCAGAGCTTGATCCTGTACTTTACTTTCATCGGCAACACATTCCTTTATCTACGCTCTTTCGCAGAGCGCACCTTTGCCTCGGCAGCGTCGATCCCCGCAAGAGTGGCTCTGGCCACATCAATATCGAGCGTCCTTTCAAGCCTGGAAGATACCCTAGGAAAGCAATCTACCAAGATCCGCTCGCTCATCCAGCTTCAGCACCAGTTTGCGAAGCCTCGCAATATCCTTGTTCACGTTGCTCGTATGGCAGATGCTGTCAAGCATGCTAAAACCAACGAGCAACTGTCGTCCATATTACACCACCGCCTGCTTGAGCTGGAAGAGGGGGATGAACAGCTTCGACAGCTCTCATGCCAGGTGCTCAGTCAAGTATCCAGACCAAGCTTGGAGCTCCTCGGGGAATGGATGGGCATCAGGAAAGAGCAAGTTTCTGTGCCCATTTGGCAGCGCAATAGCTTCGTAACTGTTGAAGACCCCACTGGCGATACTCTTACATTAGACTACACGTACAGATCCGAAATGATGCCAAGGTTCATTTCCCCAGAAGACGGTAACACGATATTTGAGACAGGTCACAGTCTTCGCTTCTTGAAATTGCAGCACCCCTATCATCCCCTGGCTCGCCTTGATGGGTTAGCAGTTCAGCCTCCGGACATGGATTGGGGCTTTCAATGGCAAGATATCGAGATACTAGCGTCAAAGGCAAAAGCGTACGAAGAGAGGCTCCGACAAGCATTGCTCGCTTTCAGCACAGGATCACATGACGAAACAGCTGCTCTCTCTACCCAATCAGCACCCAAGTTTGCGACTGAGATCCCGACGAACTCTCAAGATCTCGATCGATACTTTGAAGACTCTATCCGGCGCATGGATGACACACCGAAATGGTCGTGTCAAGCGCTGCCAGACGAGCTGCAGCTTCTCATAGAGGGGACACTAGAGAGAACAAGTGAAAATGGCGAGGCCGTATCCAATACGTTCTCGCCACCCATGTCTTTAGCATCTACTCTGTCGTTCCGCCCCCTCATCACCGCACAAGCGAAACTAGTCAACGCAGCCACGATTCGCTTGTTCTTTCGGTCACATCAGCTGCGACTTCACCTGTCACTGCAGCGGCAGTACCACCTTCTAGGTGATGGTGTCTTCTCATCCCTATTAGCAACCGCCCTATTTGATCCCGACCGCGAGAGTGCCGAGCGTCACAAAGGAAAGATGCGTAGTGGAGTACATATGGGGTTGCAACTAGGGTCCCGAACGTCATGGCCACCAGCAAGCTCGGAGCTTCGATTGGCATTGCGAGGCGTTCTCAGCGAGAGCTACTATTCCTCGACGCTCTACCAGTCAACACAAGGCGATGAAGTTGTAGCTGCACCTACAGCGCTTCTCAACAACAGAGACAACGATGAGCTTCCCGGACAGCTCAACTTCGCTATTCGCAACCTCACCGAGGCGGAACAGGAGAAGGTCATGGACCCTGATGCGTTACATGCTCTCGACTTCCTGCGGTTACAATACGTGGCGCCTGCCCCGCTCAATCTGGTGATCACGAGTACCTCTCTAGACAAGTACGACTACATCTTCAAATTCCTGCTACGGCTTCTGCGCATGCTGTTCGTCGTCTCGCATCTACCACGCGAGTATGCAGATAGCAACGCTCGTTACTTCAGGGCCGAGGCGTATCACTTCGTGATAACGCTCACCAACTATGTCTTCCAGACCGGCATTGCAGAGCCGTGGGACGACTTTGACACCTTGGTTCGGACTGTCGAGACCAGGTTGAACGAGGAAGACGCAGCCGGCGAGCTCGGAGTGCGTGTCACGGAAGGTGTTGCATCTCTGCGCGATTCGCATGAGAGATGCCTGGACAGCATCTTGTTTGCGCTCTTACTCCGGAAGCGACAGCGCAAGATCATGGCCCTTGTAGAAGAAATATTCGACCACATCCTTCTCTTCGCCAAGATGCAGAATGCCAACACACAACAGACGGAAGAAAGTGTGAAAGGTCTTTACGCGAAACTCAGAGGAAAGATACGGGTGTTCTTGAGTGTGTGCCGAGGCCTGACAGGCAAACAGGGCTACGGCAAAGGAAGAGGCACTGCAGAAGAGAATCAAATGGAGCGGCTGGTAGTCGCAATGGAAATGAACGGCTACTTCGCTTGATGATAGGAAGACAATGAAAGCAGGATAGCGTTTGGGCTGTGGCCTATCATCACTCCGTGCCACAATCATTCCGCCTCGTTTATTCCGTCTTACACGACAAGGCACCAGCCCCACTTTTCTTCACGCGTGTATACTCCGCTGCTTACAATCATCCCCAAAACGATGACCACATACGCGGAACGGATCAAGATAAAAGAGACAGCAACCGCCTTCAAAAATGTTTGACTTCGACATTCCATCACCTCTCAAAACACAATAAAGCAGAATGGCCAGTCCACGCACCCACACCCTAGACAACTTCCGCACGAGCCTAACAGCCCTCGTAATCCTGCACCACGCCTCCACCCCCTACGGTGGTGCAGGCCCCTGGCCCTACACTTCCCCCCGCTACTACCCCAACAGCTCCCCCGCCCTCGTCCTCTTCAACGCCACCAATCAAACCTTCTTCATGGGCTCCTTCTTCCTTGTCTCCGCGTACTTTTCCTCCATCGCCGCGAAGAAGAAGACGAGGTCGCAGTTTCTGCGCGAGAAGTGGAGGAGGTTGGGTGTGCCGACGCTTGTGTTTTGTCTAGTGAGGGGGGGTTTCGTGAGGGGGATATTGGCGGGGAGGTTGAAGGGAGAAGGATGGGGCGTGGTGGGGAGGGAGGTTTGGGAGGGGGTCAAGAGTGTGAGGGGGATTAGAGGGCCGGTCTGGTATTGTGCTACGCTTTTGATCTTTGATGCGGTGTTTGCTGGGGTGCTGCCGGGGTATTTTGCGCGTGAGAAGCCGCTGGTGGCTAAGGAGAAGAAGACCTCTGGTACCGTCTCTAGCGATATCAAGGCCAGCGCATCGTCGACGAAGACTTCATCCCAAATGGAAGTCACCAACGCCCCAGAGGAACCAAAGCCCTTCCGCACAACCCATGTTCTAGCTACACTAGGCCTGATATCGACTTCATCCTTCTTGATCCGACTCTACTACCCCGTAGGTCGAGCCTTCTGGCCGTTGTTCCTCCAGCTGGCGTATGTATCCCAATACGTTACTTACTACACCGCCGGCATCTACATCCACCGCTCAGGACGTTCACTCCAGAACGCCATCTCTTCATCAACCTTACGCATCGTCGGCACCATCACCGCCTCCATCGCCTCCCTCAGTCTCTTCCACATCAAATTCCTACTCGACACCGGCATGTCTTTCCCCGAGATCGTCCCACTCATCTTCGGTGGTCCCAACCTACTCGCGTTCCTCTACGCTTTCTTCAACGAATTCGCTGGCTTGACCCTCGCTTCGCTCCTTCTGAAAGCTTTCCACAATCCGCGTTTGGCATTTCTTAGCAAGCGCTGGATAGTTGGTAGCATGGATGTAGCGAAGTACAGTTATGCGGCTTTCTTGATTCATGCACCTGTGGTCCTCGATTTGCAGTGCTGGTTTGGAAAGAAGGGTTGGGAAGGTATGGGGGCGGTGGCATCGGCGGTTGTGGTGGGGGCTTTGAGTGTGGTCGAGTCCTGGGCGGTCGGGGTGGTGTTGAAGAAGGGTATTGAGTGGGTGGGTTGGAGAGGATATGTGTGATTTACTAGAGAGTAGTAGGTCTGGGGAGATGCAATCGTAGGAGAGTCTGTGCTTTGAGGCGGAAGTTTACCTACAACGCAATAAAATGACTGCACTAGGCTCTAGTTCAGCGGTAATGATGTACTAGCAGTTGTTTCCCATTCTCTTGCTTGCGACGCTATCACATTGTGGCAACAACTAGGCCGTGTTCACGCCCTGCGAAGAATGCGTGCAAAGGGCAATATACCACAACATCCGAATGGTGTGCCAACGGCGCCTTGCAATCGCTCGTCGTCAAAGCATATCTATGGGAACTGTCCCAAGCTGCAAGATCCTCCATTGTGAAACGACTTCCACATAATCTCCCATCACATCCTATATCAGTAATGGTTCCGTGTTCAACTGAACTCTAGAATAGTGTCAACAGGCAACTCTCCGGACCGCTACAGGGTTGACATACCTCTTTGTCTGTTGATGTTTCATCTTTTTTAAGCGCGTCATCTAAGCACGCCTTTGCTATTCTGTAATAACGCTCCCGCGGATTGAGATAGGAAGCCCCTGCCTTGCAATCCAATGCCATGGCGCGAATGGCAAGACAATACACGTTACATGGTGAAAGCGTGTAGTCGGCTGAGAGGAACCAACCAGCCCCTTCGTCCACTAAACCGAGAATTGCATACACCTTGTCGCGGGCGTCGGTGGCATAACTCGTTGAAGACCAGTACAAGGCGGCCGCCAGACGCGTGACACTATGGTTCCAGTTGTACAGACGAATCATAGGCAACACACGGTCGAGGTGGTGTTTTTCCATTGCTGCCGGATGATCAAAGTGATTGGACCGTAATCTCTCCAAAAATCGCCCCAAACGGGGCCACTCTAGGGACGTGGTACCACACATGATCGTGGGTTTCTTGGCAGCGGTGACTTCCTGGATAATCCACACCCGACACCAGTATGGGTTTTGCACGAGATAGACCACCGCGGCGACGATGCTGGAACCTATAAAGGTCCGACAGATGTTGTTCACCTTGTTTGGAGAGAGACAGTGATGCCAGTGAGACTCTATCATCAAACTCAATTTCTCGATGTCTCGATTTCCTGGACCCAGCCACATTACCACCTGAGCTGCATTGCTGTAGATAGTTCTCATCTGCCCTACTTGGTGCATTCTCTCCTTTGGATTATCTTGATCGATGCAGATTGCATCAATCCAGAAGCTGGAATACGGGGACGCGTTTCTTAGATGCGTCAGAGCTTCTCTGAGATTCGATGTGACGTATGCAATATTGCCATCCAGATAAATCGGGTGCCTGATCGTAGCATCTCCCCAGACGTAGGAGAGCGCTATGTAAGGGATACTTTCTGACTTAACGTTGTACTCCTTGATCGTACAGCTAATGTCTTCATCACCGAAGTCAGGCAGAAAACGGAGTAGTCTGATTGAATGCGCCCCTCTGAGTTCTCGGTATCGGTACGTTCGCTTGGGTACATTGGTTGCTTCTTGAGATTCGGGTGAGTCCGGAGTGGCAGAGCAACGCCCTTCTCGCTTGCTCTTCGGTCTTGTTGAGGCATCGACCAAATCAGTCAGTGCATCGCGCCCGTAGCTATGTATTGACTTCGGCGTTAGTGAACATTAATTCGTGGCGTCGTCATAGCAAAGCCAATATTCACCTGGTCAGATCGTGGGGTCTTTGCGCGACAGGCATCTCGAGTATTACCAGGCTGCGCCTATAATCGACGTAATCTCCGACAGAACCTCGAGAGGTGCGAGAGACAGCGGCCGGGTAAGACGACAGGGGGCCATATAGGGCCTGGTGGTCAGTCGACGTGGTGAATGAACGTTGGCGATATGAAAGCCAAAAGGAATAATTTGCGCCACATATTGCCAATGCCAACGGTGTTTACTTGGGGCAGTGCAAGGCCTCCCTCTTTGCGCCCGCTTTCCAGGTGGCAGGGCCTGGTCCGCCTCCAGTCCTAAGCCGGCTAGCGCGTCTGGGCATGATGCGCAACATTGGAATCGCTTCATTTTGCAGATTACACAATGGGGGAGAGGAGGGTATATGAGCGAACTAAGGGGTTTACCGACCACATGGACACCTACGTGTTAGAGACACTGTGCCATTTTACAATGTCATTTCCCCAGTCAAACTGGCAGAATTTTTCACTAAAGATTACTACGTTGTCGCCATAAGACATATGCAAAAGAACGCCAGATTGAGCGGGCTTGTGGTTCGCATGACTGATTGGGCGTTCTGTACTTGGGTACCTAGGTAAGGATGAAATCAAGCAACTGCCAAACGAGTCCAGGGATTATAACGTCCATGTCCTATATAATCAAGAGTTGTTTATTAGGTGTTACAAACAAGAGAGGGCTTCGTTAGATAGTTCGTGATCTTGGGGTCTGGTCGGGGTGGATGATTTAGCGTGTCTGGTCAAAAAAGTCCTTCACAACCGCCATCACTTTAACCCTCCTTTTTTGATCTTGTGTTGGACAAAACCTTTCGAAACGAAAGCTCGAGTTGAGGGACAGCTCTAGGTGCTGTCGTATCACTGTCATTGCGATTTGTAGTCGTTGTGGGTCGGCTAGTGCAGAAGTTCAAAAAAAGTCCTTCACGGCCACACCTCCAACACCTCCTAGTCAGGATGACGATGGACAATGACATAGCAAAAAGAAAGCCCGACGTGGGGGTCGAACCCACAACCTTGAGATTTGATACAATCGTGTCTGTTAGGACGTGATAACTAAGAGTCTCACGCTCTACCGATTGAGCTAGCCGGGCTGATGTTGCTTTCGATGGAAGATTGGCCAAATACAACATTTATAATGTTACAATAAAACTCTCGAGCTCCCTCATAATCGTATAGAGTCCTTGGATGTGAAGTTTGGATCGAGATGGAAAATTTTGTTTGGGCATGCGGGTCGGGACTTATCAGATTTTGCCAATACCCGAAAACCCCGCCTTTGCCAACCAGCCACCCATCCATCCGGTACACGGAAAAGACAAGCTCTTTACTTGCTCACGCTACAGTTCGGGCGCGCTATCGTAGTGTATGTATCTCTACTGAACCCAGCACAAGGACTACTGCAATGGTCGGAAACAATAGATGTGGCTCCAAAACCTTACAAGTTGTTTGCGCATCATTGTTCTGCCTTGTAAGGCATGTTTTGCTGCCTAGTCAAAACATGCAAGTAATCTGCACGACACCGCTCCAGCGGACACCCTTGTCAATCTTATACGGCACAGGTTCTAGAAGGAGAAGAGGTATGCCTCCCGTATTACTGCATTCCGACAAGAGACGCGTGCCAATGGTGGCGAAGCACGAAGATGGTCTCATGGAGGCGCATATAAGCTCATTGCGCATGAGCTTGAGGGATGTGTACGAGCTTACTAAAGAACGTTGGACCAGCCTCCCTCGGTTCATTATCATCCTAGATGCATGTAGGTTTGTGATGCACACACGTTCGGTGCTCAGTGCGTTGTGGTGTACTCAGGGGTCCGATCCGACGGGTAATATTTGAAACGTCGATAATATGCCGCTTAGTGGTCTGGATACGAGGCAGAATGGGAGGCTTTCTGGACCTGCATCGCATGGGCCGAGGATGATACAAGTAGATGGTTCGCTTTGGCCGAGAGACGGTCAGTATCCTCGGGTCGACCAAGGATTCGTTCCGATGTAGTTGCGATTGCGCCGATCGCTCGCGTGCAAGGGGTAAACACGTGACGTCATCCTAACATCAAGCTGTGCTGCGGAACGCGTCAAGTCGAACCCAAACACTCCAACAACTCCGTGTCCAAAATCTCATCGGCGAATTCGCTACTTGTCAGTCATATCCTTGATAATTCGATGTTTGACCATGCCGCGGACGCGAGGCGAAGCAAGCAGTGGCGCTGATGCGGAACGCGATGCCAGTCAAGATCAGGGGACACAGCCGCGAGACACTGCATCTGGAGCGCAAACCGCTGAGTCTTCGACACAATCTGCCGGCCAGAAGAGGAAAGTGACATCCGAGAATGAAGCATCTGCGAAGCAACGCCGAACGAGCGAAAGACAGGGAGCAGCTACATCGGTACGGGCCGAAAAGAAGGGAGAGCGACCAAAGGAAGAAGAGCCGGAACAGCGGAAACCCCGCCTCACGACGCCAGATCTGGAATATGAATACGATCGATCGAAGCTACGTGACCCGAGACCAACTCCGGGCCGCAAGGCACGTCCGCGCTGGGAGGACAGCCCTCTTACACCACAAGAGATCAAAGACCGTATCAACGAGAACTTCTACATACCCAAACCCACGAAGCCCCCTGCACGTTTGAACACTGCTCTCAAGGATGGAATGTTCAGAGACGAATGCCGCTTAAACCCCTTCAAAGGCTTTCATGATCTGTACAAATGCCATGACAAGGGGCGAGAGGGCTCACCTACCTACGATGGAGGCGGCTTTGAGCTCGACTGGGAAAAAGTGGACCGTTGGATGAAGCCGCAAGCGTACAACAAGAACAAGATGGTGCGTGGCATGGAGAAAGCAGTCGAACGGGCAAGGACTGAGGAGCAAAAGATGTTTGATCTGTTCTTCTTGGCCAAATGGAACGATGACGAGGGTGTTAGCTCCATGGTGAAGGACTATGTCAAAGACCAGGTGTCAAAAGATATCGGGGTGCCGTGGCATCAAATCGGCCCGGAGCAGGTGCAGCAATGGCGTGACAGAGGCTTCCAGCCTGTCAACTTCTACAACTGGTGGGAAGAGCCCAACGAAGAGGAGAAGAAGAGAATGATGAACATGATGTCAGGAGCTAGTTTGAGAAAGGACTTGTAATTGCATAACCATATCTGATGATGTTCCAGGCAAACATCACTTTGACAACACGCTAGTTTTTCCTCCGCCCATATGACCCAAGCTAATCTCAACACGTCCCATGCTGCCGCCGGAAGACTTTTACATATTAGGCCCTCCGAAGAACACATCAGGCCGTTCAAAGCGGACCGTCTCACGGCTAAGCGAAAAGCTTAACCTACAGATGCCACGCGTCTCAGCAATCCCGCTGGCTCTTGGTAAGGCAAACAGCGAGGCGGAGTCCCCGAAGTGTGGTCACCTGGGTCCCGCTGTATCGTTTCACGTACTGTAACGTAACGTAGCAGTGAGTTGTAGCTCTCGGTACGTGGGTTTTGGGCATCTAAGGGATCGTGCCGCGTAGTCTGTCTATTCATAGTAATGTAGCTGCCTGAATTTTCTCCAGGACATGTGGGGTGTGGGGTGTGGAGTTTCTGATACAGTGCTTGGAGAAGTGACGGGATGTGGAGACTTTCGGTCACTCCGTCTTGACATCGTGTACGTGAATGTAGGTCCGATCTTACTATCAGAATCGGATTGACAACACTATCAGATGCTCTTCTCCAAGAGTCCACAGAGAGAGAGTCACAGCAGCGAGCGTTAGTCTCGCAGTATCAAGTGACCACCTGTAGAGACTACACTCGCCTAACGCGGGTATCGCCCTTAACAAGTGACGGAAGTAGACACCTTTTCTTCGTGTAGGATCTAGTCTCCTTGCGTGCCCATAGCTTCAACACACCCACTTCGACCTCATCATGCATACTAGCCAGGTGCCATCACCCACGCCAACACGAAATTTTCATTCAAGCATCGCCGAACACTTCGACGGGCGATACCGAATGCAAGTCTAACACGCCAGCGGGTACTTGACATCATACTTTTGACATCATATCATCCTTCTAGAGTGTTCATGTGCCCAGATATACATTCTTTCCATGCAGGAACGCGTACCCCTTCCCACGATACCAGACGCAAGTATACGGCGGTGACGAGGCCTACTCCAGGCAGCAATGCAGGAACATACCAACCGAAACCAGACCCAAAGTCCGGTCCGACAATGTGAAGAACAATATATGCCGTGCATCGACGACACAGATCGACAGGGACGGGACGCCGTTCCACGGAGGTGATTAACTTCAAGGTTCCATACTAACGGTACCTACCGCTGTGCGGCAAGCCATCAGCCTTCATCACGCGCACGGTGTATCGTGACAAAAACCTTCAACACCAACAACGCCCAAGCGAAGCAGAATGGCATGATACCATCTACAGGCGCCAAATGCTGCAGGGACTCGCGTGTGTAAACGAGAAAAAGTCACACGCGTCGCGCAACGGATGAGGCAGGTAAAACAGCGGTCCAGGCGACGAGATCGTGCATCGTGCAGCGGGCATGGACGCGGATCAGGACACTCTACATTAGCTGACACTAGCTAGCATGTATGTGATCACTGGTGTATTGATGCGCGTGCTGGCCTGCAACGGCTCAGGCTGTCTTCAAGGCAGAGAAAAAGAAACCGCCCGGGCGTGGCCCGCCGCGCAACAACCCTGATTCGTGATAGTGGGGACGGTGCTATTTTGACTCGAATGGGTAACCGATCCTGTCTTTTTGTTCTTCTTCTTTTTTTCCGTAGATGCGCACTTTACTTGGTTGGGTAACTTTAACGCGATGGGGGTACGAGGCGTCCGACTTGTACTCGGGGTTGAGGCTGTGCTGGGTTTAGGCGGCCAATCAGGGGTCCTCACTTCCGGGTTTGTCACGTGGTTAGGCCCTTTCGCGTCTGGAGAAGCTGCAGTAGTTGGCATCAAGGTTCGCAAGATGGTCTTTGAAACGCAATTGACACTCGGTGAAACGAAAGATGGGTCGAGGCTTTGTGGGCGGAGAATTATCTTTATTGCATATGTGTGACGAAACTCTCAGAACTCGACCTATCAAGTACTTGCCAGATCTGACATATTAAGTAACTGCCAAGCTATACCATCTAACATGTTGCACAGCCTCACGACTGATAGTAAGGATGTTGTGAATGTCTGGGGTCACGGTACATTGCCGATGCGCTTTGGTCGTAAACCCGCTGACCTGATGCAGTAGGTGGCGAGTAATTCGGCATCGTGGCATATGCTGCTCGCTCCGTGGAGGCTGTGTAAGCAATGTTGTGGGGCATTATTGGTTGCTGGGCGACCGGATATGGGCTGTAGCCATACACTGACGGGCTCGTGGGTGCACCGGTGTGCAGTGACGGCGAGGGGTGATGTGCGTAGGGCGACGTTTGATCCCATGTGGGAGGCATGTTGGAGCCCAGTGGTGGCTGAGTGTATAGATACTGATACGGAGTGACCGATGAATGGTGTGAAATCCGGTCGGCTGTAGCGGTAGGTGTGGCGTATGTTTGTGGAGATGACCATGTTGAGTATGCGTCGTTGTCGAAGCTTGACCAGGAATGGCGACTTGATCCGTGTGATGGTGTGGTCAGGAACGTATCGTACATGTGAGAATTGGGGGAGAGGTAGTCATCGTCCTCGGCATAGTTCGACAGGGCCGGTGTACCAGAGTCGGATGGAGAACTTGGAGCATTGGGAAGGGTGATGCCCTGGTTCTGGTATCTTCGCACGAGGACCGTATATCTTGACAATATTAGGAAATAGTGCAACAAACAGTAGTGAAGAACGTACCTATTCTTGATATCATTCTTTGATCTTCCTGGAAAATGCTCACGTTGGATGTCTTTCCAGTGTCGTCCGAGTCGCTGGACTGCATCAATAAGTGTTGAGTCCTATACAGCACCTTTCAGTAAGCCGAAAGTGGTTTCTGTCCGTGAGACTGCTATCACTGACATCTAAGTCGCGCCATTCGCTTCGATCAAGATCCGGATTAAGTGACTGCTGCCACCGCTTCGCGCATTCTAAGGGATGGTCAGCAACGAAGTAGTAATACATCGTAGTACTTACGGTCTGCACTGCGACTTCCGACACAGCTTGCTACCACTGTCCATCTGTTGATAGTGGAGTCAGTACCAGTGTATGCTTCCGATTGTTGAGCCATACTTTTGGCCGTATTGTTGGACCCCTCTTGAGAGCAACTGATCTTCACTCTTCGACCACTGCCCCTTCTTGAGACCTCCTGCTACCGAGTTGTGCCACCGTTTTCGACAATCTTTGTTCGTTCGACCAGGGAGGCTATCGGCGATTCTGCACCTGCAGGCACTGTTAGTTGTTGACTTGAGAGGAGTCAAAGCAACATACCAATCCTTGACTTCTCCTTCTACGACTGATGATGCTTAGTTAGCTTGCTTAGGAAATGCTGATATGCAGAGACTGCTGCGTAGCTGCGGAGCATAGAATACCACATGGGCTGTGTCTCATGCAACTGGTGTAACTTACGTTGGGCCTCCACTTCTTCGCGGAGTTTCTGATCTTCCGCTAAAGACCACTTCCGAGGTTGGCGAATGGAATTGTCCATAGCGATCGGGAACAGGTGAAGATGCTGTACTCTAGGATATCTGAATATAACCAGAAGTCTATAGACGGCAGATAGGATAGTATGGTCAAGAGAGAGGACAAGAGTTGTTTGGAGATATTGCAATAAACTTGAGTTATGTCAACCAAGTAGCAGTGACCTAAGGACTTGGTACAAGTAAAAAGTGCAAGACTATCAGCAATGTAGACATCGTGAGGAGACAACCTCGAGCGGAAAGCTAGCATAATAGTGTTCCAGCGCCTTGGCAAACCAGGTCCTTGGATTTTCCGGAGGGAGAGACGGCAAACAAGCTGTATGCCAAGCTGTAATGTTCGACGGTGGTACTCGGTTCGGCTAGTGGACGGCGCAACCTACAGCGTTTTCGAAACAGCCCAGTAACGAACATGTTCCATGCAGATGGACGAGGCTTTGCAGGCCATGACGCGTGCGTGTATGGTTAGTGCATCGTCTGACGGGCCGTTGACCAGGTGGTGTGTACAGCCCCCAAAGGATTCCCGCACTGGCTAGGTCCCTGTAGGTAAGGCTGCATGGACCATACACCGCTAACCCAAAAGAACTTCAGAACTTAGCAGCCGGTTGGAATAAGCTTATTGCTCCACAGGATATGCCATGTAGTCGCTAGGAGCAGCAAGTTGCATAGCGTGCCTGATGTAACAGCCGCTCGTTGCCCAGAGACCTGCTTTTACCCTTTGTGGGCCTAATCTTCTAATGGTGGAAAGCTCGCTGGACTCGCATGAGCACGAGAATTCGGATATCTATTGTACGTCAAATTCCTGCGAAACATAAGTGTCTCAGACGCCAAAAGAGGAAGCCCACCCGTTGATGATTTCGAGGTGGCTTCAAAAAACGTGACAAGGTGGCTGTGCTCTAGTCCAATATGGGCCAACGCTGATCATCTCGGAAAAGCAGCCGAACAGATCTCTGGAACAGTCTAAGCCATCTGATAGCCGCATATAATCCGCGAAGGGACGGTTGCGATATGCGTGGTAGCTGTCGCTATTGTTGACATCTCGCCACCACTATCGTGCGCAGAGGGTGTTAATACTGCAATGTTTTAGTGACAGTCTGCGCCATGCGCTCGAAGATCCGCTAAGTTCTCAGACGGAGAGTGTGTTGCTATATGGTGTCGTGCCATTGGAACGAGCTCGTTCAGTTGGAGGCGAAGATTACTCCTGGCGGTCAGTCCGCAGTCTTGCTGGTACGACAGGACCAGGGAGGCGATTACAGCGGTGGCGAAGACGGAAATCGGCAGTCAGATCAACTGAACGCATTCCGGTGAAGTGGTGACTATTCGCGTCTTGTGTATGTTCACATAGGAGGTCGTGAGAGGTACATGCTAGGAAGTGAGAGCGAGGCTGGGAAGAGCGTTCACCCCTAGCGCGTGGATCGCGTTCCGTTCGGCAGGTACCGTCAGCCACTTTTGGCAGTCGCCGACTACTCCACGACACATCCAACGCAGCAACTCCGACTCGCATGGCGATCTGGCGTGTACTGATTAAGCAATGCGCTTTTATCGCTCGATCGCTCTAAGTTGTCTCCGAGCCTACTGCTCCTCGTCAAAGGGCTGAGGGTAGGGCTGAACATGTAACATCACACAACCGCATTGGTGCATGGTGACATCGAACGATGCAAGAAAGAATACAATGTACATAATTGATTCGTTGAGTCAATGGTGCTTTCTCGGTGAAGAAGCTGTGCACCTAATCCAGACTATCTGTGGCACCACTGCTTCGTCACAGTCTGGCCTATTGTATCTTGTGTAAATAAGCTGCTACCCTCTCTGAGCAAGCATGTCTGTGACGACGGCTAGATCGTAGCCACTCAGCATGCTTCCCGATCCATTGGCCAGTATGATGTTCGACCTGCGGGAAGTGCAAGATTTGCATTGTAACGAACGGGTCGAAACCGTGTTCGTTGTAAAGCGGAGCGGTGTCTCCAGCACTGGAGTGAGTGCGTGGATATTGATAAGAGCGCGCGCACGCGTGGGCTGACGCAGACGTACTATCCCTTGGAGCTGAGGATAGTAGCGTCGCTATCGTCTGACGATGCTTCAGGTCTTGCCCATGAGCCTCTGCGCTTTCGCAAGCAGGACTGTGCTCTCTCGACCCAGCTTCCTTTGGCCATTGGGTCCCCTAGCTTTGGCCATGGTTTTCCTGAAGCGCTCACGCTCAGCGATCCTCTTTGCGCGCTCCTTCTCCGCTTCCTCCCTGGCTTTTTGCCTCGCCTCTATTTCCTCCCTCTTCTTCCGCGCCACTTCTGTCTCTTTCAAGAATGGCTGTGGTCGAGCTCGCCGCTGTCGTCTCTCCCAAGTCTGTGTGGATTCTGGCTCGGGCGACTTCTCTTCCAGCATCGCGACGCGATCAGGGTGAGGCTCCAATGTGGGCTCTTGGACGGGCTCAGCAGGCTCCTCATCCTCGTCTTCGTTGTCGTCGTTGGCAGATTCGCGGTCGTAGACAGACTTGCGCGGTGCCGTCTCTTCGTTCTCTTCGCGGGCTTTGAGCTTTGCGTATTGCTTCTTCAGCTTTGCTTTGGTGATAAGGCCTTTCTTGATCTTTTCGACTGAGTACCCAATTAGCAGTTGAACTATATATGCCATGCCAGCAAACGTCGGTATTGCGTAGTTGCCCAGTACTCGAAACTACTGCGATACGCCTGTCTGAGTCCCTCCTCTGCGAGGTTTTTATGCATGGAGAATACGATGGAGAAAACCTACTCTTCCGTCTATGGGTGCCATCCGGCAAGTTTGCGGGACCGATGTCGAAGCGACCCTTCTGCTTCTGCTTCTTCACCGCTGACTTTGCGTCTCCTTCATGCGGTCGTTTGACTGCCATATCGAAGGCTATGGTTGTGTTGAGGAAGTCTTGAGGCGCGGTATGGAGCTTGTCGCAAGAACGCGAGCCGACTTTCTCAGCCTTGGCAAAGTGGGGCGCGATCTAGAGCCAGTCACATGGTCTTCACCACCGCGGCGGTCCTGAACTCACGCCTCAGCTTTGTGCACCATCGCAACTATGCACCAGCAAAGACGCATCCCGCGGGGACGTGCAGGAACACCCGGATGAGCAGTGTGTTCTTTTTCGTCGTGTGACATGCTGCGTCGGCCAATACCGGTCCGGCGGCATGGGCGACTTTATCAGCAGCGATTAGGAACTTTCCGTCTTGCAACAAAGATCACAGCGCGTCATCTGTCCCGGTCCCTGCGTCCCTCCTCTCCGCACCTTCAACTGGGGCGCTCCACGCTGTTTCGTCCTAAAACTGGGCAGTATGACTGTACAATGAAGCGCCCACTGGAGCCAGCGCACCCCGTTTAAACTGGAAACTCTTACTCATATCATTCGCCGGGCCAGCAGGTGCTCCAACCGCTTGACCTGACGTCTCCGCCATCCTTACGACCTGCCATCTCAGTGCTCCACGTCTGTTGCGCTCGCAAACCCGCCACTATTCTCTGATACTTTGTCAAATCTTTGTACTCATGCTGTCTATCGCAACAATTTGTTACAGCCATGCCCATCTTTCATGATCCCCATGACAGTCCACCAACATCGTCATTCTTGCCTCAGGCCTTGGCCACCGGCTTTGAAATGCCGCATACTCCGGGATTTGCTGTAGAAAGGAACATGGAACCCGGCATGCAGCCAGAATCGCCGAAAGTCGACCTGCTACAGGATACGGACCCTGGGTCGCCCAGCCAAATGCGCAAGCCGTCCATGTTCGGACGGAAGGACTGGATGGAAAGGATTAAACGAACGAACAGTCCATCGTGGTTGCAGCGGCAAGGTGTGAGTAGCCGGAGAACTAGGAAACGTCCACCATGGTGCTTGATAATCAACGTAAGGAATACTGATCATGAATCACAGGGCGATTCCGTAACTGAGCGCGACTCCTCAACCCGACCGACATCGCAAGACCGACCGACTACACCTCAATCTTCATCCGCCGAACTACAAACCTCCCGAATCTCCACCCCGGAACATCTCCGTGACCCTGCAGCGGTAGGCCTGGATATCGAGCGTCCGCGATCGGCATTACACTCTGGAGATTTTAGAGAGAAGAGAGCGGGCACGGCCTCGGAGAATGACTCCTCATCTTCAGGCTTCCTAGCGACTTCCCCGGTGGTGCCTTGGAATCGCTCGTTCCCGTCTGCAGCTTATACTTCGAACCGCAACGACGTCTCGTACCCGGTGCCACATCACCCAGATGCCCGAATACCCGCGCGAGCGCGAGCGATATCGCAGTCATCACAGTCACCGTTTAGTTCATTTGCTTTTCTACCGCCCACAAGCCCGCTTGTCCAGCAAGCAAACAACACAGACTTGGACTTTTCCTCTAGGCCAGGCTCGCGGCAAGGGTCCCGAAGTCCCGACAGAAATAGTCGCCGGCATACCTACTCTCCTGCATCCTTTCATGACTACCAGTCCACCCAAATGGCGCGATCCGCCACCGGAACTCCGGCAGCTCGACACATTCGCCACAGTGGTTCAATGCCATACCAGGCGCACCAACCGCGACGATCAATGACTTTCAATCAGTCTGAGCCTCAATCTCAGTCGCAAACACCATTCCTACACGCTCGGCGCCCATCCTTTTCCTCGGAAGCATCTCCGTTGCAACACGCCCCCATGGTCGGTTCATATGAGGAGTCTATACTTCGCGGGCGTATGTCTACTACGCCTTCGCGGCCTCTTGATTTCGTCGCCAAGATTGGTGTACTCGGCAAAGGGCAATGCAAGTCAAGTCTGAAGTGCCCACCCCACGTCACAGTCCCCTTTCCAGCCGTATTCTACAGCTACAACACCGGTAACGGTAGGATCTCAGATAATGAGCCGAGCCCTTACGTTGGGCACATTGACCTGGAAAATACTTTGCCACCGCCAGATGAATGCAGCGAAGCTAGTAAACGTAAGCGACGACATGTGGTGCCAGCCCCCGAACAAGACGATCTTGACTTCAAGCTTAATCTTGGTGAAGAGGAGAGTGGACAGAGCGTGAAAGGAGACCTTCGTCGTAAAGAAAAGAAAAAGCGACGATCTACGTCTCCCAAGGCACCTCCGGGGGGATGTTACCGGATACCGCCGCAGGGGCAGCTACAAATTGTGCTGAAGAACCCAAACAAAACCGCAGTGAAGCTCTTCCTCGTGCCATATGACATATCGGACATGGAGCCAGGTCAGAAAACCTTCATCAGACAGCGCAGCTACTCTGCTGGACCCATTATCGATATGCCCGCATCTTCACGGAGGAACCTGGGAACTGACCGTCCAGAGGCTGCCCTCAGCAACTCGGACGATCCGAACGACCGACCTATCTTGCGTTACCTCATACACTTGCACATATGCTGTCCTTCAAAGGGTCGTCATTACTTGTACAAAAGCATACGGGTCGTTTTTGCGAATCGTGTACCAGACGGTAAAGAAAAGCTGAGGAATGAAATCCAGCAACCTGAGCCTAGATACAGCACGTACAAGCCGACGCGAGATGCATCATCGTTGCAAAAGACACATCTACCGGGAGCTCAACCAGCTACGGACAAGGCTTTCCGTCGACGCAGTGCTGGATGGCCACTGTCTCAATCTCAGCACTTGTACGATCAGCTCGATGGATTGAGGCAGCACACTCCATTACCACCTCCAGCCGTCAAGTTCACTGGAGGTACCACCAACTCCTCAGCATCAAGTGGCTTCAACTCACCTATGCCGGAACTACAGCCCATACCTTTTACGATCGGTAGGCTCGCTGCAATCGAGTCACGGCCTATGTCTCGCGATCGCATGGACATTGATCCGAAGAGCCCCTTCAGAACACCCATTACTTCGCCGCGAGCTGGCGTAAGTAGTCCGAAAAGTCAAAGCGATGGTACCTTTGAGAAGCTCAGCAAAGGCGACATTGGCTACGGCGGAAATGCATTCTCTCCGCTCGGCAGCCCGTCCGCTCCGCCCAATGCCGGTCTATTATCACAGCGGTTGCGCGGTTTGGATGTTCAGCGCGACGAGGAGGAGTAAGCACTCTTCACTCACAGGAGTTCGGACAATCCTTATTGGTCTGTTTTATGTTGAATACCCAATGTCTGTTGTTCTTTTACTGGCGTTATACATTGGCCCTATTGGGTGTGGCTCTTGAATTATAGCGTCTCTCTTGTAAAATATGCTAGATATCATAAATCATACGAACACATAAATCTAGCCTGCTTCCGGAACCGTGCAGCCGATGCGTGCGATGACGCCTGCCGAACTTGTTGCGTAGGGCTTAGCGTGGTTGCGCTCAAAGGTTCGCGAAGAGTGACGTCGGCGATAATTTGGCTAGAGCCGAGCTATCGTCGGCGACTTGAACACTGAGTATTTATCTATCCGAACAACATCTTCGAGACTCTAAAGACGATAGTCGCCTTCTTAGTTCTTTCTGAATCGCAATACAATATCATCGCGACACCAATACCAACCATGGCCTCCAAGCGCGCAGCCCAACTGCTCGGCGTCCGCTCCAATGCCTCCGTCATCGGCCGCCAGCCTACACGATTGAGCTTCAACACTGCGCGCGCTTTCAGCATCGCACCCAGGTCGCAAAACACATCTATCTCGCAGAGCAGGGCATTGGCTGTAGGAGGTGCTGCGAGGTTACACGCGACGCCAGCACAAAAGAGATGGCATTCACAGGCCCCCAACGACTTGAAGCAGAACAAGCTCTACCAATTTGACGATGTACGTCTTACCGTTATTTCCCAAGACTTTCTTGGCCAATACGATCGGCTTCTTTCAAGCCATAATACACCCCTTCAAGCGCATCGCTAACCCATACAGGTTCTACACATCCTCGAAGCGCCCTCAGACTCACGTCTCCTCATCGACGTCCGCGAACCCCATGAATTCGACGCAAACACTATACCCACCTCTATCAACATCCCTGTCACCTCACAACCCGATGCGCTACTACTAGACGAAGAGGAGTTTGAAGATAGGTTTGGCTTCCAGAAGCCACCCAAGGGAAAAGAAGTCGTCTTCTTTTGCAAGGCGGGAGTGAGGAGCTCAGCGGCTGCAGGAATCGCGAGACAAGCTGGGTAAGTCGGATTTTCCATTGGCACACGCCCAGGGTTCGATCAGAAGGCAAAGGACGCTTGCTAGAGATCATTAGCCAACTCGCACGGCAGATACACAAACGTTGGCGAATACCGCGGCTCGTGGCTCGACTGGCAGAAGCGCGGCGGACCGGGCACAAAGTCACCACCGAAGCCCGATGGCATGGGCGAGCCCAAGGCCCCTACTACCGAGACGAAGCCTACAGCTAGGACAGGTGACAGCGGAGAAGAGGATCTAGGGCCTCAGGGACAGCCAAAGTACCCACCGGGAGGCATTATGGGCCAACAGTAGATCTCCGATGCTAAGTTCGCAAATGGGGGATGGCTTGGTAATAAACGATACATGGAGGGCGTACATAACAAGATGAGATTAAGATACGATCAATTCGAAACAGATACTGCGTCACTTCCAAGAACATTCAGAAGGGCAATAGCACATTTCCATGCAATCAGAGTATAGCATCTAAAGAGTGTTATTGCAGCCAGCTACTCAAAATTACAAGTGTTTCAAGAATGAGAAGAGATGATTAAAAGAAGGTATTCCGCGAACGTAATGAATGCCGAAGTTAGTATTGTCCAGTGCTACCGGTCTAAAGCTTGAGCCTGGCACTGATTGAGAGTTAGCACATCTTAATTCGGATAAGTAGATCAGATTCAAACTCACCATCTGCCAGTAGACACCCCGTTTCCTCAACAGCCCTTGGTGGTCACCCCTCTCCAGCACCATGCCACTACCCAAAACAAAGATGACATCCGCCTTCTGAATCGTAGCAAGGCGATGCGCGACTGCAATCACTGTTCTTCCGCCCTCGCCAGCAGCACGCTCAATAGCATCCTGCACCAACTTCTCAGATTCAGAGTCGAGAGAGGATGTCGCTTCATCCAGTAAAAGGAGTTTTGGTTTACGCAACAAGGCACGAGCGAGACTAAGACGCTGTTTCTGACCACCAGACAGCGACATGCCCTTTGGTCCTAGGCGCTGGGCATATCCCTCGGGCAGGGATGTGATGAAGTCGTGGATCTGGGCGTCACGGCATGCTTGCTCGATGTCTTCATCCGTAGCGGTATCGACAGATAAAGCAACGTTTTCGCGTATCGTGCCTTCGTACAGCGTAGGCTCTTGGCTGACGAGACTGATCTGCTTGCGATATTCTGCGGGATCAAGAGTCGTGATGTCTTGTCCGTTGTAGAGGATGCGGCCAGATGTTGCATCGTAGAAGCGCTCGAGGAGGGATATTGTAGTAGATTTCCCGCAGCCGGATGCACCCACAAGTGCGGCGAACTGGCCTGGTTGGACTTGGATGTCGAGGTTGGATAGAACGGGCACTTCGCGGGTTTTGTAGGCGAAAGACACATTCTGGAACTCGATGCCAACGCCTTCTTCTGGTTTGTGCAAAGGCGGGTATGTGGCTGTTGCAGTGGTCTTTGATGGACGCATACTGAGAATGCGGTTTGCGGCGCCGGTCGCTTGGGCCATATTGGGGGCATACGAGAAGAACTGTCCTGCTGCAATGGCGCCTTGCACAATAGCTTGGTAGATGACGAAAAAGTTGACAGGGCTGTACTCGCGGGAAGCCAGGAGAGTACCACCGTACCAGAAGGTAAGAGCCATGCAAGCCAATTCGATGCTGTCACTTGCCGCAAAAACAAGAGTGCCATACTTGGCGCTTGAAAAGGCTTTTGTGACGTGACCTTTCAGCAAGGTCTCGTAGCGCTGACCGATCATATCTTCCATGATAAGACTCGACACTGTGCGGAAAGCACCGACAGCTTCTGAAGCAAACTGGCTGCTGTCTTCAAAAACCTTTGCGTTGGTCTTTTCAAACTCGTTTTCGAGGCGCACACGTAGATATCCAGCAGCCAAGATGAGTGGTAGCGCGGAAAATAGGGCAACAAGCGACAGTTTCCATCCGTAGATGAAAGAGATGATTACGGAGCCCACTACGTTGACTATAGCAACGAGCGCAATGGACATCTCTGTTGCCATCAGCTGCTGGATCTGTGTCGAGTCTGAGCTCAGGGTTGATGTTAGAGATCCAGGGCTATGCCCTTGATCGTCGAAGAAGGCAATGCGTTTGCGGATGAGATTATCCAGGTATTCTTGGCGATAGGTCCTTGTTACGGCGACAGAGATGAGGTGACAGGCCAAGCCCATGAAAAAGTAGGATAGAAAGGTACTCGCAGCTAGAACACCGAACATGCCTGCCCAGAAGTTACCCTGGCTGACGAGTTCGCCCATGGGAAGTGTGAAAACGTTGACGACATGTGCGAAGATGTAGGCCTGGAGTGGGAATACGACACCGGTAGCCAGTATACCCACGATAGCGACACTGTATAAGATCCAATGTCCTCGTTGTTCGTAGAGAAGACGCCCGAAGCTGCCAAAGAGACCTTGCTGTTTGTACTTTGGATCTTCGGCTACTTTGGAAACATCGGTGCTCTGCTTGTAGTCTTCGACTATTGCAGTGTCTGCGCTCTTCACCTTTTCGAGCGAGCTAGCATCAGCGTCCTGTTCCGCTTCCGTAGCGATCTCTTGGGCATGGACCAAGCCGTAGTAGACACCAGCTTCTAGCTTCAACAGCTCATCATGGGTACCTTGTTCCACGAGAGCGCCTTGACGTAAGACTACGATCTTGTCCGCACGCCTGATGGTAGAAAGACGATGCGCGATGACGATAGTCGTCCGATTCTTCGATACGCGATCGAGAGCCTGTTGAACAATGCGCTCGGTGCGTACATCGATAGCGCTCGTAGCCTCGTCGAGAATCAATATAGGAGGTTGTTTGATGATGCTCCGCGCGATCGCAACTCGTTGTCGCTGTCCACCCGAAAGCTTGATACCACTCTCGCCTACCAAAGTCTCGTAACCTTCAGGAAGTTTGGCGATGAATTCTTCGGCGTAGGCTTCGCGACACGCCTCATCGACCAGTATCTTTTTCTCTTCTTTGGGCAAGTCTTCGTACTGAGTACCAATAAGACCGAACGCGATGTTGTTGTATAGAGTGTCGTTGAACAGGAAGGGCTCTTGCTGGACTAGACCAATCTGAGAGCGCCACCATTTTAAGTCGACATCTCGTAGGTTGGTATCTCCGATCCGGATAGCACCAGTGCAAGTGTTTGGGCCCAGACCAGGCTCCTCGTCTTTGCTCTCGCCTTCTCCAGCCTTCTCCGCAGATGCTTGTTTGTCTCCATCTTTCGGCACAGCTTTCTTCTTGAACCATCGAGACTTTTGCGGGCTGTCCTTCTCGTTGTCGTGCGCGTCCTCGTGAGGCGATGGGTCGGCCGCGTGATCGTCAGAGGTGGCCGTAGCTGTTGTGCCTGAGAGCTCGTACCATCTCTGCAACAACCCCACGATAGTAGACTTTCCTAAAAGTTGAGGCAAGTGGTTAGTAACTAGAACATGAATTGCAGAGTAGAAACTGCTTACCACTCCCAGACGGACCAACAATAGCGGTAACTTTTCCTGCCTCAAACTCGAGGTCAAGACCTCCAAGGATCGGAACATTTGGTCGGCTTGGGTATGAGAAGGCGACGTTTTGAAAGCTGATGTTTGCGTTGGCGGTGACATCCGGCTCTTTCAATCCAGTGGTATCGGGAACGGCTGCATCGATCGTGATGAATAATTCGGTAGCGGCAGAAGATGCCTTCGCAATGGCCATGATTGGGGCCACAACCCTACCGACGTTCGTTATTGCCATCATGACAGAGAACAGAACCACCACTATCGTTCCAACGTCGATGTTCTTGCCTTCCGAATACTGTTTGATGCCGAACCAAAACGCAATCGCAAAGGTGCCATACTGTCCAATCATCATGGGTGACATCACGAGACCCATGAGAGGCGCAGCTCTGGCCTCGTTAGTCGCAGCTTTGTCCAACAAGGCCTCGTGCAACCTCGCCAATTTCGCCTCTGCACCAAACGCAGCGACAATGCGAATGGACGAGAACATCTCGAAAGCCATAGCAGAAGCATCTTCATGATGCTTCTCGGTAACTTTGTGGATCCGGATGAAAGGTGGTACTATGATACCAAACACGACGAGGATGAACGGAAGCGAAGCAGATGCGACTACGGTAAGCAGTGGGCCTTTGATGAAAGCCACCACATACGCTCCGATCACGAACGCAAGAACCTGGAAGAGCATGGCAATGTGCTGTGATATTGCGAGTTGGACCGTGTTGGAAGAGGTGGTAATTCGCGTGGACACCTTGCCGGGACTTATCGTGTCTATGACACTAATTGGCTGTGCGAACAAGGCTCGTAGATATGCTTGACGCAATGCAGCAGAGATCCTCAGGCCGCTGATTCGGATGGTAAGCTATACCAGCATTAGTATAATGGTAGCCTCTTCATGGCATGCATGCATACCATTGATATATAAGACAACACAAACTTCGCGATGAAGAGGTAGACAAGAAACAGGGTAAGCCTGTTGATCTCAGCTTGAAATTCCCCGGCTGTCATGGTCGTTCCCGGGATGAAGTAATTGGTGAAAGATCCGACTAATTGACCTGGCTGCTGTCAGTATTCGGGGAGGATGCCAACGGATTCTGGAGTATCAGGTCATACCGAAGACGACGTTCATCAGAGGAAACGTAACGCCGGAGGCTATCGAGGTGACACAGCACATGAATATGAGCCAGTAATCGAGAGTAGTTCCATGGGAGAAGACTCGCTGATCGTTTGTCAGCCAAGAGTAACATCCAAGGCGACTTACTCACGAAGTAATTCTTCATGCCCGCTTCAGGCACTTTCTTTGCTTGTGATGAGGTACTTTCATCTTGCTCTGCATGTTCAATGACGCCGTTCTTTTCATCGGATCCTGTCTCTAAAACTTGAGCGGCGATCGCAGCGCTCTCCACCTCAGCATCGATCGTTGGCCGAGGTGGCGATTGACCGTCAGTGTCCTTAGAGTTCATGGCTGTGCGATGCAAAGGAGCGTAAGAAAGCGACAAAGTGCGGCTTTGAGATGAATGGTTATTCGACGGTAGAAGAGGCGGTCATCTTAAAGCGAAGGACGAAAGTTGGTGCCTGGTGATGTGTTTGCCGTATAGATCGTATTCTTATGTACACCGGATCAAGCCGTGTCTGCGTTCCGATTCGACACGCACACCGTCGAAAATCGGAGTGAGAGTGTACCTTATAACGATCGTTTGCACCGGGGCCAATGTTCGTCGCGCGCCAAGTGCTGTACGAAGTACGAAACTCAGCCAGGGGAGGCGCTAACCGCGCGACTTCTCGCTTCACCACCATCCTTCCTAATCGAGCGACTACCTGCGAGACGCATGGGT